TTTGAACAAACCGTCAGATCACTTAGGGCAACACGTGGTCCAGGCAGGCGAGTGAAGCAAGTGACCTGGAATTTCTGTTCCCGAGATTCCCTACAGCAGGCAAGGAAATCACCCGATACTTTGAAAGAACGAACAAAGGTGGGCACTAAGGGCTCATCGAGAGAGCGTCCAAGAGCAGACTCAATAGCAGGAAATATCGCATGGAAGGACGCATCCAGCAATGTGGGATGTGCAATTGTGAGGTCGGCCGCCTGGACGGAGAACTGGCTTGGCTGGAAGTCGAGACCAGCCAATGCAAATCCTGGTCCAGTCTGGACATCGCCAGTCAGTAACTGGAAACTGGGACCATATTGTAGGCCCAGCGCCGTCAGGTGGTCATACAGAGTCTCCGCGGGTATCGATTCCTGTGACTCTTTTGCCAGGTCATCGAAAGTTTTTGAAGATTCCCATCGCATCGGCAAAGTCAGAGCGTTGGTCTCAACTGAAACCAAACCGGAACAATGCTCGTTGAGGATTTTGGTCTCTCCGTAGGAGTATATTGTAAATTCGTACCATAGTGCCGACTTTGATTTGCCGGACTGTGTTGCCGGTCGGAGCTCCATGATGACCTCTGTCCCTTCCTCTGAGTCGCTCAATAGTAGGGCCGATTGGACATTGAGATCCCGCAGAGCAATCTCCTTGATAACAGAGTCCTCTGCACACATGCTGACCGCTGCCTCGATAGCCATGCTGAAGTAGCCGGCAGCTGGGAAGACGGCGTTACCGTCTATGACATGATCCGCGAGCCACGGAATCTCCTTGAGGCGAAGATAATTCCTCCAGTGTGGAGTCCTCTCCGGCATTCCAGGCATTCGGGCCCCGAGGATTGAGTGCTGCTGCTTGCGCAGCCGATGCTCGCGGATAGGTCGAGTTTCAGACCAATACCGCTTGTGATCCCAGGCATAGGTCGGCAGGTCCCGAAGTCGCTTCCCGTGCAGCTCAGATTGAATGATACCTGTCTCCCTTCGAAGAAAATGGTCGCTATTCACGGCAATCAAGTCAACCGGGAACCCATACTGGAAGAGCTGACCTGCCAGTGTCAACAGGCTTTCGTAATCATCCACTCCGCGAGTCAGGGATGCCAGGTAAGGAAGGTTGAGCTTGAGAGCATTCATGACCTGGCGCGAAGGACCCTTCAGCGCGGGATGGGGACCGATCTCAACAAGAATATCAACATTCTGTTCATCCTCCTCGTTCAGAAGAATGCCGGTAAGGGCGTCGGAGAATCGAACAGTACCCGTCATGTTGGCCGTCCAGTATCCGGCACCCATTTCCCCTGGTCGAGCTAATCGAGCAGTGACACTGGAAAACATGCGGACACGTGCAGGACTTGTACCGAACCCAGCACAGTTCTTCAGTGCCTCTTCATACTTCGGCGCCAAGGGAAGCATGTGGTGTGAGTGAAAGGCCTGCGCAACCTGAAGCAGTCGGGCGAATATCTTTCGCTCCACGAGGCTGTCTCTCAAGCGGACGATGGCATCTTTATCACCAGACAGTGTTAAACTAGAAGCACTATTGACGGCAGCCACGCAGATCTGGCCAGTGTAGGTTTCAAGTTCCTTCTTTGCTTCCGCTTCGGTCAATCCAACCGCCATCATGGCGCCATCCGTGGTCGTAGAGCCATCGACACCGCTCGACATGTAAAGCCCTCGGTAATATGCAGCAATCATAGCATTTTCAAACGTAAGAATCCCTGCCGCATAGGCTGCTGCTACTTCGCCAGATGAGTGCCCCACTACTGCGGAAGGTTCAATGCCCCATTGTTTCAATAGGCATACCGTGGCAAGCTGCATGGCAGTGCAGATGGGCTGTGATAGCCGGGTTTCCTTCAGGCGACTGGCTTCCTCTGTGCGCAGCAGTTCTTCCAGGACTGTCCAGTCAGGTCCATCTGGCAAGCTCTGCAAGATCGCATCGCATCGCTCCAGGGTCTGCCGGTACAAATGCGATTGCTGGATGAGTTTCCGGCCCATTGCAAACCACTGAGCACCTTGACCAGTGAAGACAAATCCGATCCGGGGGGTCTCCTTCAACGGGCGCGTCCAGGCAGCAGCAGGGCTAGGTGGCTGCTCGAGCCCCTGGAGAACAGTAGGCATGTCTTTCCCGATAATGAACGAGCGGTTGCCATGCATTGTGCGGCGTGTAGACAAGCTAACTGCGAGGTCGCTGACCGCGGGCCTACCGATGGGCTCGTTTGACAGATACTTAGTCAGTTTGTCCTCCCACAGATCTCCGGCTTTCGTCGAATGCGCACTCAGCGGAATCAGGTACGGACGATCAACGGGTATGCTGCTGGAGATGGCTGGGATGGCTTGCAATTTGGCTTCGCTATCTTCGGGCTTGTAGGCGTCCAGAATGACGTGTGCGTTAGTGCCTCCATAACCGAAAGAATTGATACTGGCACGGCGTATACCGTTCGCGCTCGCTGGCCAATTAATAATATCCTGCGGCACCTGGATTTTCCATTCGTCGAAATTGATTTCCGGGTTGGGCCGTTTGAAGTGCATGTTGGGTGGGATCTGGCTTTTCTCTAAGGCCAAAGTCGCTTTTATGATACCGGCCAAACCCGAGGCACCCTCCAGATGGCCGATGTTACTCTTAACCGATCCTACGTAGAGTGGCTCAGATCGTGTTGAGCCGAAAACAGCACCGATGGCCCGCGCCTCGATCGGGTCTCCTCGGGCTGTACCTGTACCGTGTGCCTCGAAGTACTGCGTGTCGTTTGGATCTAGACCGGCTAGATCGTACGTCCGACGGATAAGCTTCTCCTGGGCATCGGTATTTGGCAGAGTAATTCCCTGTTTGATACCATCGTGGTTCACACCTGAAGCACGTACCACGGCGCGGATGTTGTCACCGTTATATACCGCGTCGCGCCGACGTTTCAGGACTGCGGCGCAGATACCCTCGCCCCGGACATAGCCACTGCCCATGGAGTCGAACGTCCGGCAGCGACCGTCACTTGACAGCATGCCCAAGTCGGTCATTGTAATGAATACATTCGGGTCAAAGTGAAGGGCTGAGCCGACCACAATAGCAATATCCGATTCGTTCTGAGACAACGATTGGTTGCCAAGATGGAAACATACCAAAGACGACGAGCATGCAGTATCGATCGTCACGCTGGGGCCATGAAGGTTGTAAAAATAGGATATCCGGTTGGAAAGAATGGCGTTTCCTGTGCCGGTGACGGTGTACTTGGGGTAATACTCAAGATCTTTAGTGACCATGGCATTGTAGTCGTTGGTGAAGGAGCCGCAGAAGACAGCAGTATTAGATCCATTGACCTCGTCCAGAGTGATGCCAGCATCCTCAAGCGCTTCATAGACAACCTCCAGCAACAACCGCTGCTGAGGGTCCATCGCTTCGGCTTCCTTACCGGAAATCCGAAAGAACCCGGCGTCAAACATGCCAATATCCTGGTCAAGGAAGTAGCCAAATTTGGCGTTGGTCTGCAGCAGTCAGCACCGTTCTAACCTTATCATGGGCTTCTTGCACGTACAGTGCCTTTGTTGGTCCCATCTGGGTGATAGAAAGCGTCCACATTGAACCGATCCGCGGGCATCTTCCGCTGCAAGTCCTTCTGCGCGACGATGTTTTCCCATAACTGACTTGGGTTGGTAGCTCCTGGGACACGACAAGCAAGCCCCACAATAACTGAGGGGTCCGCGTTGGGTGTCATGGAAGAGACCGATGAGGGGACGGCATTGGAGAAGCGGGGAGAGGTCTCAGACGATGAGAGTGGTGTGTCCATTGTGATGGTTTCGGGGACGACGTTGAAGGGTCGAATAGAATGAAATACAGTAAGTCTATAGAAAGTTGAATCTATCGCATGATCTTCTATTCACCATGGTCGGCCAGGTGTGTTTATATGGCTGACACGTTGCCCTTCGCGAAGAGCAATCCTCCCTAGTGGTGGCCATACTGATTACAATCTAGTCAGCCCTCGATGAGATCCTCAGTAATCTCTGTCGCATTGATCAGCTTCGCGATGAGATGGCGATAGTAAGCTGAGGATGGGGGCAGAATCGGGGCAGAATGGTGAGGCAGTGGGAGAAGCGCGAGACGGGCGACAGCGGGAGGAAGCGGCGGATGGCTTGAGGATCAGTGGGCGAGTGGAGAGGAACAAGGGAGAAAATCCCGCCCGCGCACGGAGCTTTATGCACACAACACCCGCTCATGCTTGTCCCCGTTCCATCGCGGCGACAAGCATGGGGGTTTGTCCGAAGAAACACTCACTATCAATTCCAATTGGTAAGATCGCTGTCAGAGTCCTCTGTCTTTCCTTATGGAAGCTTTGCCCCACGTTGCGGCGGCTTTTAAGATTCATTTAGTTCCCTCACCTAAATAGATGGTGTTTCCGGCATTGAGCCATGGATAATTTATATATCTATAACCTTAGTACTAGCCGTTTCTTTTAGGACTTCATCCAATTCACCATCTTCACAGACACAACCAAGGTTGAAAAAAAATAAAAAAATAAAATAAATTAAAAAAAAAATAAAAGCCCAAGGAGAAAAGCAAAGGTATACTTTATCGACCTTTTTCTCATGCCTAAATTTAGCGTAGAGCTATTGTCAACTCAGGGATGACACCTGACTGAGATTTGTCTTAATCGTGAAGTGGCTATCTCGTAAGCAGCATTATCCACGACGAGGTACCTGTGATGTTCTTCCTTACACAGAATTACAGATAGAGCCTGTGCTCTAATGAGTAAGGACTTTAGCTAAACATCGAGGGAAATCTACAAATGTTCGTTGTGGAGAGGACATCCAGTGCTAGGTAAATACTGTCGTAGCTTCCTCATCTTCATTAATCTCCTATGTCTGACCACTCGTCTTACGAATTCCCAATTAGATCTCCCATATATATGGTCTTTAGACCTGCCCGACATATACTAAAAGCAGAACAACAGCTTCATGACACCTAGCTGCGCTGGGGTGGTGCATGACCAAAAGAGCAATCTAAAACTTCCATTCCCGCGGAGCTGCCACGTAGCGAGAGAGGATTGTCACCACAGCTCCGCCCATGAGGATCGAACCACAAAAGTCGATGAATCCATACCACTTCTGGTGGTCGGCGCTGAGAAGAGCCCCCGCGATTGGACTACCGGTCAAGCCTCTGCCAAGAGGAAGCCATTTGGTTAGCAAAGCTCTCTCTATGTCTGGAAAAATTTCACCGAGGGAAGAACATACCCAACCGAACAGAAACCCATCATAAGCCCAATCTTGACACCAATAATACTGTGGTCAGGAGTGATCTGGCCAATACATGCCGATTGTAGCGAGATCAACCCGCCCGAGCAGATGCCGTACAGGGTCGAGAAGGCAATGATGGCGCCGGATGTGGTGATTTTGTGAAGACAAAAGAGCAGGATACCACAGCTTAGTGCAGCCAGTGAGATAACGTTGAATCTGTAAAGAGAATTAGTGAACGCGATTAAGAATAATGAGGCAAGGAAACGAACCGTCCCAGGCGATCGGCCATCAGGCCCGTTAGAACTCGACCGACGAAGGACCCTGCGTTCATGTAGGCGAGGAGATTGTTTGCTCCCGTCACACTCATTCCGTACGTCTCTCCGTAAGATGGCAGGTAGAAAAAGGGAATGAACATTCCCCAGAGCACGAGCAGCATTCCCACGCTAAAGAGCAGATACTTGGTATCGGTAAAGATGGCTTTGAAGTCGAGCTGCATGTCCTTGCTCTCCCCGGGCTCTGGAGGCCGAGTGATGATCAACACACAGCTTGGAACAAGGAAAGCCAGACTGATGAACCCGCAGGCACGGACGGTCCATCCGAATCCAATGTGGTCAAGCATGAGCTGAATGATTTCTGTCCAGAAGATTCCGCCCAGTGAGGACCCCGACACAGCAAGTCCGAGTGCTATCCCTCGACGCCGATCAAACCATTGGTTGATGGCTGCGATAGTTGGATAGAAGCTGCCCATCATTAGTAGCTGACATCGGAATATGCATGATGTGAACTCACAGCAGCGCATTGGCACAGCCAAACAAGATTCCTTGAGCCAGGATGAGCTGGTAGTACTTCTTGCACACACTGGTGAGCATCAGGGCGACGACATAGACGACCGACCCCGGCACCAAGAGCTTGGTAGCTCCCACCTTGTCATACAGAGGGCCAACCACTAGACCACCAATGAAGAGGAGGAAGATCTAAACAGGTCAGCTAGGTTCAAGTCAAATCCAGGGGCAATTCAGACACCTGCAAAGAGCCAATCCAAGCAATCTTGGAGCTGGAGGTTCCGGCAAGGAGATCCTGTACGTAAAACGTTTGGAAGGTACCGAAAGCATTGAGGAATCCTGCAGTGAGAGAATGTGTAAGTGACAGGTAGAATCCACTGTCATAAAGACATACCAAAAGTCGGAAAGTAGATCAGTAAACCGCCCACCACGACTAGCCATGCCCGTGTACTGGTGTCTTTGGCTGGCAGTGGGTGGTGCCCATCGCCCACGATAGTCGACTCCGAAGCAGGTTTGGACAGGGCGGTCCTAGAGACCTCCTCGGAGGGCGAACGCTGGTCGTGCGACATGATGAATGAATTCTGGCGCTTACAGGGTGGAAAGGTCGTGTAGTATCCTTTGCGAGAATATGCGGACTTTATAAGGAAAGCTCCTCTGTGTTGCGGACATCAGACGTGGTGCGACTGGAAAATGTCCGTTCCTCCACGGAAGGTCGGGCTGGTGGTGAAGCCCAAGCCACTCACTGGTCAAATCAGCTGCATATATACCAATCACGCCCAGTTCATTTTTTGAAAGGGCACTAAGTCAAATTAAAACTTTTTTGTTCTCGCGATGTGGCGTATTCCCGTTATCGTGGCGTTGGTCGCCGGGTTGCTGTACTGGGTACGGAAGCAGGCTTCCCAGCCCAGTCGCAAGATCCCCCAGCCCCGGATCGGCCTGCCGGTTGTTGGTGATGCACAAGCCTTTGGAAAGTCGCCGATATCATACATCCGACAAGCGACGGCACGATGTGGGCCTGTATTTCAAATCAATCTCCTTTTGACCAAGATTGTTATGCTCCGTGGCGCCCAGCTAAATCGGTTCTATCTGGACACGCGTGAGGAGGTCTGGTCGTTTGGGGATGGCATGGTAGCCATACACCATCAAGTTTTCTAACATTGTTCTAATAAGGATGAAATAGGGTCTTTTCCTAGAGAAAGTCGTTGTTCCCGGATACCTATCCCACCTCAAGGAGATGGTGAGCTCGCTCAATCGAGGCGTAAATCGCTCAATTGCCTTGGAACATTATACGCGCATCGCCGGGGAAGAAGCACGCAAGATTGCAACTAACTGGGCCGAGAAACCGGACATCGAGGTCTTCGAACAGATGTCTCGCTATACGCACCGGGTGATCGTGCGGTGCTTGATGGGGCAGGACTTTTACGATCACCACCTCGACGAGCTGCTTGATCTCCTCCACCGTATGGAAGCAGATATCGGTCATCCCTTTCACTTCCTGCTGCCCAACTGGGTTCCTCACGGCCCAGCTCGTCGTCTCCATCATGCCCGCGATCGGATGGCGGCTATTTTTAACGAGCGGCTGCAGGCGCGCGAGCAGAATCCAGAAAAGTGGCAGGACTCGCTCGATTACATCGCCTACACCCTCAAGGATAGCCGCACAGCGCACCTGCGTCAGTATTTTGCTGCGCACCATACCTTGCTCATGTTTGCTGCTCATACTAGTACTGTAGCGAGTATTGCATGGACAGTGCTAGAGGTGAGTAGTCGCTTTAATCCTGTAAGGAATGGCTGGGCAGCTAACACTGCTGCAATAGCTGCTCCGCAATCCTACGCATCTTGAAGCGCTGAAATCAGCCTTGGCAACTGGTGCGGACATTCACCGGTCTCCTACATTGATTGCCACGCTTAAAGAGACGAGCCGACGGTATTCTGGAGTGAACATGATCCGCTGGGCCCGGCAACCACACCAACTACCCGCCGATGCTGCTGCTCCCGGAAAGGGAAACATTGTGGTCCCCGAAAACTGCATTGTGTCGATTTCACCCTATCTGACCCATCATGACCCAGAGACGTATGCTGATCCGCATATCTGGGATCCGACAAGGTGGATGGAGGGCGGTAGGCTGAGCGAGACGCAGAAGAGCAATCGATCAGAGGTGACTTATTTCCCGTTCGGGGCGGGATGTCATCGATGCCCTGGGGAGCAGATGGCGGGGATGATTGCGCGGGAGATGGTGGCTCACATGGTGAAGACATATGACGTTCGTTGGTCGAGCACTGGGCCGCCTGAAGACTTTGAGCAACTGGATTTTTCTAGGGTCGGTAGTGCGTGGTTGAAGGGGGATGCGAGGGTGACTGTCAAGCGAGATAACCTGGGAATGGAGGAAGCATGACTCTCAATGTACATGTACAAATAAGGCTCACGTCTGCTTTGCAGTATGAGTAGAACTAAATGGCAGCGACAATTGTTTTGATAGAAGCATTGCAGGTGGCGTTCCTTGTAGTTGTGACGCACAGGAAATGTTGGGACATTCATTCATCCCAGATATTACCTGATCCTCCGCCACCTCTTCTGCCTTTGATAGTGTTGGTAGCGAGAGAAGTAAACAGAACACGGGCGGAAGAGTTGTTGTTCTTGCACCTGGCTCGCCGAAGATAGCAGGCTCCCTTCGCTAGCGAGAGTTTGGCTACATGGGCCCACAGCTGGATCACGGTATACAGTACAGTGCCTTAAGACTAAAAGACGGGTAGACAAGGGCATAAATACTACAATACACATTGGGTTCAGCTATGCCACAACATTCAATGTCTACGGAAAATGTACTACAGTAGACACCAACTTTGGCTCCCAGCAGGATAACTAAATCTCGCAACGCGAATATGTGTGAACAATAATAGTGAGACCTTTTTTATGTCGTCGCGTTGCATCTGGTACGTAAGTAGTTGGTAGTAGACGGTCAAATTCAATTCGTGAATTCGTGTCCATTAGATCAAGTATATCGTAGCGATGGAAGTAGTTACGCAATAACTCCCAAACATCTACTGAAATAGTAATCTCTCCCAAAGGGCGATTCTATCAAAAAGAAGCCTAGTCCAGTCAACAATATGGAAAATGATGTCTCCCTTGCATTGAACCCGGCAATGCCACCCAAAGGTCTCCACAAATCAGAGTGAATGCCTCTCTCCGTCGGGAGACGGAGGTTTTCCTCGCCCCCGGTATATGCAGCCCCCATTGTACAGTCCAAGTGTTGTATACGCTCAACTCAACCGAATATAATCTCACACCAAGCACACCAACTATATAAAACACAACCCATATCACACAATGTCCTGTCCCACACAATCTCTCAATCAATCAATCAACACCACCACCACAACAACAACCACAACCAAGATGTCCCCGTCCACCACCAACCCCGAGTCCTCCCCCCTCCACACCTACTACTTTTCCATGGTCGAAATGAGCATAATGAAACTCTTCCTCGACCACAAAATCTTCACTCTAATCCCCACCACGCCAGGGGCCTCCATCCCCGTAACCACCCTAACAACCACCCTTAACGCCTCTCCATCCCTCCTCACCCGCCTAACCAACTTCCTCATCGCCTCCGGCGTCCTGTCCTCCCCTCAACCCGGCCACATTGCTCACACCCCGAAATCCCTCCAATTCACCGATCCAACCAGCTACCAAGCACTTTTTTTCGCACACATCTTCGATTTCTTCCTGGTCCCCGCCGTGAAATGGCCCGGTTACATGGCGGAACATGGCTTGAACGAGCCGACCAGCGCCAGCCGGACACCCTTCGGCTATGCGGCGGGGTATCCCGATAAGACGCTTTATGAGATATTGGAGACGATGCCGAAGCGGGCAGCTCAGTTCAATGCTACGATGGCGGCGTCGTTTCAGCCAATGCCGGTGTTGGGAATGTATGATTTCTCTTGGATTGAGAAGCTCGCTGATGAGGAGCGCATGGCGATAGTGGACGTGGGTGGTGGAAAGGGCCAGGCGTTGAAGGAGATTCTGGGAGCGTATCCGGGGATTCGTCCGGAACAGTGTGTGCTGTTCGACGTGGAGGACGTTATCCGTGAGGCTGTTGCAGAGGCAGAAAGGGACGATAACGAGACCTGGCGCACAGTCCGCAAAATTCCCGGCAGCTTTTTCTCCGAGCAACCCGTCAAGGGTGCAGCAGTTTACCACATCCGACGAGTCCTAAACGACTGGCCCGATGAGGACTGCGTGACGATTCTTCGTCGAGTCAGGGATGCAGCGGCCCCGGACTCGCGAGTTTTGATCTCGGAGCAGATTCTCCAGGAGGAGCCCAGCTTGGCGGTTGCAGCGCTGGATCTGTGGATGTTGAACTTTGGGGGCAAGAGGCGCAGCGAGGGCATGTTTGAGGAACTTGCGCAGCGGACGGGGTGGAAAGTGAATGGGGTGTTTCGGGATAAGGAGTCGGATACGGGGGTTGTGGAGTTGGTGGTTGCATAGAGGGATAGATAGTGATTTAAATGATTTCATTGTTTGTGTTGAGGTGAAAAACTTCTAGTTTTGTGTTCTGGGAATAGATGCTCAAGTATGAAGATGATGAATCGTGTCGTCTAATCGACGGGTATCAACGCCTTTTGGTGAAGAAAGAATGAATGTTTGACCCTCAAGCAACGTCAGACCATATACGAAATAAGCCTACTATAGTCTATCAGTTTTACATCCCCTTCATTCGCCTCTTTGTCCCCCCATCTGCACTCGTCCCCGGCGTATCCCCCTCGCTTAAACCACTCAACTTCTCCGATGAGCGCTTCTGCCCCCGCTCGCCCATTCCCAGGTCTGCCAGCGAGATCAATGACGGCGGGGGCATCGTGCCCACCAAGTGGTGCGCCGGGCTGAATTGTGGGTCGTGCCAGAATGAAGGCAGTGACATCGGGTTGGGAGAAAATTGCTGCATGATCCGAGATCGTTCGTCCCCATTTTGCATTGAGTCGACCGATCCCAAAGACACGAAGGGGGCAAGGTCGAAGTCAGACAAATCCGACGCTGCGGGATGCGAGCTCTCTCGTGGTCCTTGTTCTTGGGTCGGGAGTATTTGCCCGTCCCCTGGCCAGCTAAGGCCAACTTCGCGGGAGATGTGCGAGATTGACGACGAGATGGATGAGGGTACGCCGCTGGCAGAGGGCATCGTGGGGAACATCATCTCGCTGCGGCCTTCCTCACTGGTGGGGATGCCCATCGCCGGTGTTGGCCGCGACGGTAACGCGAAGGACAGGTCCAGAGAGGAGACAGAAGACGAGGAGCTGCGAGAGCCCTGGTCCCGGCTGCCGGAAAGCACTCCTTTGATTCCCTTGCATGCAGTCTTCAGGTGCTTTTTCACTGAGCGCCATCGGTGATCTTGTAACAGAGCATCGTATTCGAACAGGTCATGCATCGCAAGGCCCCCGTCCAACAATCCGCGAAGTCGATCCTGCCAGACCCGCTGCTCTACCGCCGTAACACGGTCCCAGACAGTGAGTACGTACATGAGAGCCCGACCGAGGGCGTCCAAGGCGAGGAGGTAAAAATGCAATCCGGCAGAACCCGTGCTGGCTGGCTGGGCCGAGTCATGCCGCGCGACGGAGCTGATGGCTGGAAAGAGCTGCTTCAAATCCTGTATGGACGCGATCAATTGTTGAAAGAGCGTATCGCTCAGAACAAAGGTCTGAGAGTTGTGGACATGATGGCCGGTCTCATCGCGTGGGAAGAGAAGGTGTATCGATACGGCCAGGTACAAGGCGAGCAGGGTAGGTTCCCCGCGACCATGGGCCGACTCCTTCTGCAGCACCACGATAATGTCCAGGAGAGCGTTTCGAGAATCAGAGCAAATCTGTGTCATACTACGTCCCTGTCGCAGGAGACGGTTGAGCCGATGTAGCATTAGATCTTGCCATGGTTGCGGCTCCGGAGGACTGCGAAGGTGTTGGGGATACAGAGCGTACAGGTGGGCGCTGAGAACGGTTACGTGTGACAAGAGCCAAACTGACTGTAATGAAGAGAGTTGGGGCTTGAGGGTAGATAGATTATCCGTCGCGCGATCCAGTTGCAGCAGCGTGGAATCGGGCGTTGTTCTTGCAGGGAGTACCTGCAACAGCTGCGCGGGGAGGAGATCCGCTAGAGGCATGTCCATCTGGATAAAGGACCATACAGTAAGGGCCAACATCACCCAGTACATATGGTGGATCATCTCTGCTTCAACAGCGCCCCGATCGATGCCATTTATGTGCGTCTGACCAGTCAGAGGCGATTCATGCAGCTGGCTGGCCAGCTTGGTCGTGATGCGACCGGCGTAGCCCACATAGCACAATGCCCGGCGGGAGTGTCCGCGGCAGACATGAAACCAGCCCAATAACAGGGTAATCTGCGCGGTAGTAAGATCTTCCTGGCCCGCAGGAATGTTCGAGAGTTGGGAGACGGCCCACTGCAGCAGGCGATCCCCCTTGGCAGAGTTATCGGCAAAGTGATGAGCGTCTGCCAGCATGACCGCCAACAGTACCCGATTGGCTGTTTGGCTACGCAGATCGCGGAGCAGCAGGGATTTAGAAATGATAATCGATAAGGGATGGTTACTCATCCAGACCTCGAGATGCTGAGTGATCAGATGTGAGTTGTAATCGGCCAAGATGTCCGCTTCACCACCCGATGGCGTAGAAGTGGAAGGTGATGGGAGACACGCAGTATCGAACATGGTCTTCGTGGTGTCCTGAAGCATGCAGGCGCGATAGAAGCGCTCCCCAGGTCCAAAGAAGGGATGACAGCCCAGGTCACCGAATTTACCGGTGACTGTCTCAGCAAGATCCTGCATCAATAGGGCCAAAAATCCGGGGTAAGTGAGACTGCCCGCCGGCGTGGATGGGCCCTGGCTGGCTCTTCCGGCCGCTAAATTTCGATTGAAGCGAGCCACTCGGTCCTGGAATTGATTCGATGGGGCTGCCATGGGATCTTCACCGAAATTTTCGCGAAACATCACCTCCAGCTCTGCCATCACTCCGGTGAGAGGAGTGATGCTGGGGTTAACCGCCGACGTGATGGAGTGACCTCCGTCTCCCGGCTCTCCGTCTTCCAGCGTGATGGGACTGGGCCCGGCCGGTCCGGCCGATATGGAGGCCCGGGTGGATGTCGTCTTGTTCAGGCGAGGTCGACCTTTGGCGATCTCCAGATCATAAACACATTCAATCGACCGGGAACGACAAGCATTGCAGATGCGCTCGCCGGAGCAGGCGATCTTGCGGGTGCGACAGAAGGTGCAGCTCCGCCGTAACTCAGCTTTCTTGGCCATAGTAAAGAAAGAAAGAGAGCATGTGTTTACTACAGTTGAACACGGGGCTCCAAAAGCTGATATCGGAGTTCGTTCCTCGACTAAACCAGCATACCTGGCGGAGATAAATGTACTCCACGTGGTGGAGTAGCGATATGATGACTATGATGATGCTGATGAGAGGAGTTGAGGAAGTGAGACAACAAAGGATTGCTAGCGTCATGCGGGTAATCCCTGCTGACTTCATCCCTGAGTAAACGAGATTAATGCTCACTGGCACAGCAAGGAACCTTGACTACCCTACAGTACTATTACTCTATCACTACTAGTTAGTTCTGATTCAAAAGGATGCTATCCCGCCCCACTGCTTATTCCTTAGTATTGAGAGGGATTCTGGTACACAGGGCACAGTGTGTGATGTTGATTCTGATTCGTCTGCTCGTGTGCGCTAGTCTCTTCTATAGACATGGGCAATACCACCATCGCTTGCAGGGCAGAATCCTGCCCAGTTTCGGCTAAATACAACTCCATTGGACAAGACGCATCTCTCAGGCAGTCTTCTTCACGGCCTCATTCCGCTGCTCCACGAGAGTCGGCTGATGGCCATACAGCCACTGCAAGGCCCACTTCCAACCCCAGAGAGGCATCCAGGTGTATACCATTTGCCGAACAAAGGGACCCCAGCTTCCCAACAGGCGTCCGGTATGGAGCAGGGCAAATCGATCCGAAAATACGACTAAATAGCGGCCCCGGCGCTCCCGGCTGTGACGGTAGCCTTGAAGGATCGTCTCCGCGTCAGTGGGCCTGACATCGATCATCCCCAACGCACTGGCCAGCTCCGTCGCGTCTTCGATGGCCTGGCAGGCGCCCTATTTTGGGTGTCAGAAAGTGGAGCCAGACAGAAAGGGCAAAGGAAGAGAAAAACAGAAACTTAAAAGGCAAGTAATCAAAGATATATTCAGAACATGAGAAATAAACAAACAACAAGATCGGGAAAGAAAAAGCGTCCAACACAGCAAGGGCAAGCGAAGAACAGGGAGGTGGTTCCTGTCAGCGCCAGATTTGAAGGGGACGTGATTCTCATTTTGGGATTTAGAAAAATCCCGTTTGGCTGGCTTACCTGGCCGAAGAACGAAGTCATAGCATGAGAGGCTGCTTATTGCATTAGTGGGACAAAGCCATCATGAATGACCTGTAAGCAAGCAGTGTGGGTAGGTCGCTACTTACCGTCGCCCAGCATAGCAATGCGACCGGCCGCCATCGGGGGAAAGGTGGTCTGATGGAAGACATCGCTGGCAACGACACGTTCCGCGTGTTTGACGACTAGAAGGATCCAATCATCGTAGTCAGCATGTCATTCTGGCAGGATGCTAATAATAAATGTCCTCACCGTCACGGAAGTGAAAATCCGGGGCAAAGGGGTGATATTCGGAACCATAGACTTGATTGATAGTGTTGTGATCGGCATGTTTCCAGACGGAGCGATTCGGGTCCTTGAGCTTAGAGGGCTAGAGGCACAGTTTAGCTGATGTGAGAGCAATGTTTCATAAATCTTGATCCCTACCACTGCCCCAACAAACCACTGACGATGGTCCCTGCACGGCCACGTTGTGAGAATTGAGCGATCATACAGCATCCAATGAGCGATTCCTTCGTCCGCGGGGCCAAGGTGATCGAGTGGGTGAGTGTAGCCAGACAGATGCACTCGGCCCGTGAATTGAATGACATCGGCTGCATCTTCGTCTTCTCCAACTGCTCCACTTTGTCCGGGAGGTGAATTGATGGTGGCCATGAGAGCCCGGCGCACAACTGACCGCACCCCATCAGCACCCACTAGCACATTCCCCGTGTATCGCCTCCCATCCTTCAGGACCACCGATACCCCTTCAGCCTCCTCCTGCGGAGGGATCACCTTGGCAACTTCTGCCCCCAAGATGACCGTCTCGGAACCCCCCGCAGCGTCATACAGTCGCCGATGGAAGCCATGCCGTTCGATCGAGTACACGGGATAGCCAAAAGTACGTTCCAGCCACTGGAAGTCAATCTCACTCCACTGCGTCTGATTCCGGTAGACACGGATCTTGCGGACCGGCTGGCCTTCCTGGCGCACGTAGTCGTACAGACCGATCTGGTCCAGGGCCCGTAGGGCATTAGGAGCCAGTGAAATGCCGGCACCCACCGGTTCAAGAGCAGCGCTTCGCTCTAGCACCCGACAAGACACGCCAATCCTTCGACACATGGCTGCTAGCGTCAGGCCTCCAATGCCCCCACCCACTATGAGCACTTGGGTGGACATGCTGGCGTGTGGTTGGTTCGGGTTCGTGTGCAAAAACACGAGGTTTGCAAGGGTTCGATTGTAGAAGGAAGGGAAGCAGGATCTGGGTTGGTGGGGGGATCAAGAGCCGATGTCGAAATGAGGATGGATCCACTTTGTGTAGTTGAGGCGACAAGCTACTAGTGATGAAGGAATGAGATTATCGGTTGAATTTAATAGTAGAGCTACAGTTCAGTCAGTCTGGGGGCGAGATTAGTCACATACGAGCATATTAATCCTATTCTGTTGGGAGTCAGAAATGATCCGTTCGTGGACGGAAACTGAATAATATAATGCTCTTGATGAGTCTGGCTTGGTATATGCGTTCCGTTTGGCTGATGCCTTCAAGTAACAGTCTCACCTCAATGCTTCCCATATTAAGAAAATGTTCCGAACAATCAATGCGGAGTTATGCCTTGATCCCTCCGATCCCGTGAGCTCCCCTGAACATCAGGCAGCCAAGTTCTGCAGAGTCCATGTCGTACCATTCTGGATATGAGCTTGACACCACGTGGGTGGTTGTTTATTCTCCGGGTCAGTTCGTGCAACCCAGACTTGCTTGTTCCAATCAATCCTCGTCGTTATAGCTAGCCTCCTTATTAGTACATTCGCTGAGTAACCTCTATCATGCCAAGAAAACTGGGTAAAGGCTTTCAATCAATTATGTGACAGAAAGGCTCACCTAATGTAAACTAAGTAAAGTCGTTGCGGAAGGTGAAGATGCTGGAGCCTTGGACACACTAGGGAGCTCCCCCATACAACAGCTTGGCTTGGCCAACACAGTATGCTCAGTGTCAGATGATGACCACCTCGCTCCTCCTTCCTATTCCGTATGTACGGACGGTTGTATCTACTAGTATGGTAAGTTTGGTATTAAGATGACCTCTAATATTCCATATATCCACTAACTTATCATTATATAGGTTGTCTCAACGTAGAACAGCGCTATGTGCAGTATCAATAACTAGTGGAAATTACTCTTCTCTTTTTATTACTACTTTGGAGATATTATCACATGTGTTACGTTCCACATACTAGAGACATTGAAAATAATCAAGCAGGTAGCATCGTGATCTACGGTCTTGGATTCTCCGTCTATTCAGTCAAACTCGAGATAATGCACATAAAAATGTTCAAACACACATCCTTATACCATTACCACGCGAAGTCTGCAATTCCCACCTGCAACTTCTCAAAATCAAACATGACATACTTGTCAATGGCAAACGTCTCGCCAAAGTTTCCCATTACCATCGCTCCATCTCCCAGGGTGCGTACATTAAAGGTGCACTTATTGGTTCCGTTCGCCAGCACCTCCACATAGTTCTCGGGCACAATCTCCCACGCCCTCTCTGACCCGGCAAACTCATACCGCAGCGGTGGCAGTAAACTCGAGTTCCGGCAATCAAACTGATAGAATCCCTGCTCACCGTTATTTGGAGGATCAGAAAGCGTGACGGCCTTTGCCCCGACCAGCTCGACTAGACGCTGGTAACCGTACACAGACACTGGGGCACCGCGACCATACGAAGCGTGGTCGAACGCAGCAACGGCGGCTTGCTTTCCATCCAGAGTAGTGGTCTTGTTGAGCTCCTGCTCTTCCTCTCCGATAGAGAAGCGCGTGAGGTTCAACGCCCAATAATTAATCACGGCTGGCGCATAGACAAAGTCCAGAGTGTTGATCGCCTCCGTGACAGTGATGTCGTACCAGGTGATATCTCCCCGGACGTGAGAGGTGTTGTATCCGCCTAGTGTCTGAAGGCCGTCGTAACCACTGCATACCGCTTTGGTGGCATTGTCGTGGCAGTAGATAAAAGAGACAATTGGAGAGTGCCAGGCGCCGCTCCTCCATCCTTGGTAGAAGGACGCTTGCACGGATCCTATGATTCGTGTTAACATGAATTAGTTTTATGACGGTGGGAAAACAACTCACGATTATCAGACTGAAAAACAGGCGACAGTCCGTATACTCCCGAGAAAGGGAATGCGCTAATAGTCTCGTTGAAGACGAAATTGGCTGCTTGGATGGTGGTGTTCACCGCGGTGGGACCGATGCGCAGCATGTCCGTCGCCACATCGGCTGCTGCGGGCTCCGTAAAGTAGAAGTGGTTGGGATCCCAGTAAAGATAGCCATACTGGTCAGTTTGGTTGATAAATGTGGATGACAAAGTCTGGTTGAAAATTTTCTGATCGACGTTGAGACAATCGTAGGTGGCGGTGGGATCGTTGTAACACAAGGTGGTCACCACATAGTGGCCGGTCCAGGTCCAGTCAACCAGATACGGCAGGCTCTGACCCGGAGTTCCAAGGGCTATGTCAGTAAGAAACCCGTAAGAACTGCGAGTCAGAAGCAAGTCAACCGATTGCAGGTGCGTGGTGGCCAGGCTGGTGGGTACAGCACTAGCGGTGGTGGCTGCAACGAGCAGAGACCAAATACGAGAGCAGGGAAACATCCTGGCCGATTGCTAAGGAGAAACGATGATGACGAATTTCTGGTCCTTGTTTCCTGCGTTTGCTGCAGAATCTCCACGTGGGAGCAGGTCCTAAAATAGGTTGATAATCTGGCGTACGCTCACGTAGCAACAGGGTATACAACCATGCGTGCGGCTGGAAGTATGTCTGAACTTGGCCCCCAAGGCTGTCCTTGTCAATTTGTCTCCGTCTAACTACGGATACAAAATGGCAGTATCTTTGGTGGAACTATCAGACGGAGGCAAAACATGAAACTGGAATTGGATAATACAAACTCCTTGGCTGTCAGATCTCTTCCATCTCTTCAGCGTCCATAGATGACTTGGGGCGGTCTTCATCTTGTGCACATCTTCTGCGATCAGAATCACTGACAACAGAAGAAAGATAAAGAGGAAGAAAGCCAAAAGCCTCCTTCAACTATGGAACCTATTTTGCATATCCAGGGCGATGCTCATTCGTCGTTAACCCCGTTGATCTTCATTCATGCAGTGTCCGGCCTGGCATGGCCTTATATGGCGCTTGGCAACCTCAGCAACACAAGTGACCCGGCCAGGTCCCGACCAGTCTATGGAATCTCATCGCCAGTTTACAGTGTGAGTCGTTATACTCTACCACCCTCTTTAGAAGAGATAGCCAAGGAGTATGTCGAACGTTTACAGTCGGAGCTCCAGCCACACGGCCCATATCTCCTAGGGGGCTGGTCCATGGGCGGGATGATCGCTGTCAAGATGGCGGAGATCCTGCAAGCCAAGAAGGAGACCGTCCAGCAAGTCATTCTCCTGGACTCCATCAACCCGGAGAAATATCCGGCATTCGTTAATGAGGAAGAGCACCGCATCATCGCAGACGGATTGTTCACAAACGTCTGTCAAGCGATGGGAATGGCAGATCTTGCAGACAATAGCGACGATGAAGACAACCGATCAGATGCCTCGGAGGCCAGCGACGACGGGAGTACTATGAGTGACGAGGAGGATGACAACCTGCATCGTCTGTTTTCAACAATGCGCCGCCACATTCATGCCAGTACTCTCTCCATTGCTAGCACCGAGCCCGGCAAGCTGCTACCGCCAAACAGCGTCTGTCATACCAATGTGACTTTAGTCAAATGTACACAGTTGTCTGAAACTGTTCCCGCGCTATTTTCTGCCCGGCAACGGTGCATCCGAAGGTGTGCTCTGCACCCCACCCTGCAGTGGAGGCCGCAGAACTTCGATCGATTTCGCACGCTGTTGATCGACGCACGGCACGATAGTTTATTCGATGAGGAACACGTGGAGGTGGTGACCAGCATGCTTAGACAAATCCTAGAGTCTTGCTAGATTTCATTGTTTCTATGAGATATTCTTTGTCTTTCGGTCCTTTTTTTTTTTTTTTTTTTGAATCTGCGCTGCCGCTTACTGGGATGGGGTCTGGACGGACAATTTGCGAATGCTGTTCAACAATGGAAATTTATAGACGCACTGCAAGAAAACCTTATAGAAGGTACATGTTATGCTTTTCACAAGGTCTACAAGTTATTGCATTACAAACAAATATAAGGAAATCACTCATTCCTACGTTTTCGCGCACCGTAACAGAATAACATTAGATTCTCGTACCACATAAAAATACCCTCTCAAACTTGCTAAGAACCATCAATGAACAGTAACCCAAAACACATTCAGTTAACGCCTACAACTCACTATATCTCCCAAAACAAACAAACAACTCTACCAACAAGTCAATGTCACCTTCTCATCCAGCCACCTCCCACCCCCCATGACCACCACCTCACGAAACACCCACTCGCCCACATCCGCCCTGGGAATAGTCCATCCCACGGAAGGCTCCTCCCTCTCCGTCCCCACACGGACCTTCTCATACCCATATCCAGAACCTAGCATATGATCCCCGGTCAACAAACTCCCCGGCCTCACCGTGATTACACCCCGAAACAAATCCCTCGCCTCCCTCTTCGCCAGCATCTCCTCCATCACCCACTTATCCGCATGTGGCACATGCAGCAGCCCATGATACACCCGGCGCAACAAGAACGGCACATCCATCTGCTTCTGGCTCGGGTCAACGCCCATGCCAGAGAGGACGGTGAGGAGCGGTCTGGATTTCACATTTGCAGGCAGCATGAACTCCGGATACGTGGCGTAGATGTTTCGCAAGGCAGTGAGGAGTGCCCGTGTGGCTTCTTCGCAGATATGCGGCTGGTCGAATTCGAAGCACCAGCCACGGAAGTTGCCTGTGGCGCCGATTCCTGAGATAATATGGGATACAAGGGTTGGTGTTGGTGTTGGTGACGATGCTGATGTCGTGGGATCGGTAGGAAAGCCTGCAGCCTGCAGAAGAAGCGTATTTTTCACGGCCTCCGGGTCGGTCGCATCGCCGGTCACAATGCGGAGTCGGGAGTCCAGGGTCTCTTGGTCGATGTTCTGGGTGCGAAGGAGGGCCGTGAGCTTGGATGGCGTGCGGGCTAGTGCGACGGCGTGATAGCCGGTTTGCAGGGTGTGGGCGAGGCAGGCGTTGATGCAGCCGCCCGTGGCACCGAGGAAGGCAATGGTTGGTTTGGACATGATGTTGTGTCTGAAGGATGAAGGATTTCTGAATTACGGAATAGATGATAGTAAGAGAAATTAATTAATAGATGGAGAACGGAGAGATTGGAATTCTGTTAAGGTCAAACGGAGGTAGTGGGTTTATATTTGCGGCGGAGGATGAGAAAGTCTCCGTCTGGGGACGGAAGGAGATGCGCTGGGATCAGGATTTTGTCAGAGGGATCGATTACCGTAGCTAGCACCATCCAGTCAGAGAGGGGCACGTTGATTCTAAGCGTCAATAATATTATGTCTTGGAGTAGTGCAGAACTTATGCCAATTTTAGTATCGAGTATTTTATTCACGCCATTTAGTCAAGGTTCAGATTTGTACGTGAAGCATTTTTAATTCACAACCGTGAGTGTTAGCCACATGCTGTACAGCATACTTGAAAATCAATACCCTTGCTCTTGAGATTTTGCCCACCCAAGATGCTAATATACAGCATTTTATATTTTATCTATGCTGATATGTCCCCTCAAGGCTGTTTGCGATTACTTCTCTACAGGTAGCAAACCCCGATCTAAATTTCAAGATGGACTATCAATCGGAGGTGTGATTCTGAAGCCTAGATAGTTGGCTATTTATATATAGTAAATTTAGGCTAAATATATCGATTCTATCTTGTAGATATATTCGAAAGCTAGAAGAACTTACAATAAAAGGCCCACGCACGTGGCCCAGGGTCTAGAACCAATAGAGGTACTATCGTGCAATAGGTATATACTATCAACTCTCCATTACATGGTAGATTTCACCTACTATCTGCCCATTTGGATCAGAATCAAAACGAGACAACGTTATGATATCTAGTTGTCAGTCACCAAGATTATTTTAGCTCAGGACTGATCTTCATTTTGTCTCCAACCTTGAAATATGATCAGAAAAGACCGACATCTTATACAATGTATACTGTCGACACTAGCTAGTACATATATATTCCTTGGCCATTAATTGTACAACATTGTACAACTCACAAATTTACCCCTGCTGCTGCAGTCTTCCACAGCCGAGCGATCCTTCTAGCAACTAATCCCCTCCGGCACGGTTGGAGTGATGGCATCGGGATTCGTAAAAAAATTGTCCGGGTCGTAAATCTTCTTGACTTCAACTAGTCGACAGACACTATCGCCGTAATATGACTCGAACGGGTTCGTTGAGATGTGAGCATCCATCTCTCCAGAGTACGATGCAACCCTAGATGATGATGACAATTATTAGCCTCAGACTTTCACGCGTGAAGCACGTGTACCAGTGTAACCACTCACCCAATCTTTGGCCGCAGATAGGTCTCCAAATCCGCAAACCATTTCTCATAGGTCGCTTGCTTCGTCGAGTTCGTCAACGAGCCATGTACCTGAAACTCTAGATGCGCATAGGCTTGTTCGCGCCACGGAAATGCATAGTCTGCTTTAGTCGCGCTGGAGATGTTCCATGCGTGCCACTCACCCCAGATCTCCGAGTCTGTGTCTAACTGGCCCATCATATCGATGACGGTCTTCAGGTCTGCTGCAGGGAGAATATTGTCCTTCTGCATGAAGAATGATTTGCTGATACGGTTGAAGCGGGCCCAAGGTTCAGCAATGGGAATGGACGGGTCCTCTGGCTCATTCTCGTACTGATATTGCGGGTAGTCGCCGTATTGAGAGAACGGCTCTGGTAGCACGTTCATGATCTGTCGGTTCGTTTCATTAGCCGGGACGCATTCGTAGCTCGTATAGCCAAAGAGCCGGGAGTTGTCGGTGTCGCAGTTCCCTGATATGTAGACGGTTGGGGTCCCGATATTTAGGAGCCCCGACTCGTTAATCAGCTTGCGGAGTTCATTCTCGGTACCTCCCAGATACTGGCCGAGGAAGTTGATGCTACTCTTGTACACATTGACCTGCGAAGTAAATGCTGGTATCTGCACCGGTGCCCAGTCGAAGAATCGCTGCGCCACCGGGTACCGGTCACTGCTGGTGTTCCAGGAGATGGCTACCATTGCTGACGTGGGGAACTGCATTAACTGCAGGTCGAAGTCCACGATGATCCCATACGTTCCGCCCCCGCCACCTCGAATCGCCCAGAAAAGGTCTTCGTGCGAGCTGGACGAGGCTGTCACAAGGCTGCCGTCAGCGAGAACGACACGCGCGGACTGCACGTATTCGGCAGCGAGTCCAAGGGCACGCATCTGCAGGCTGAACCCGCCGGACGACACGAGCCCACCCAGCGCAACGGTTGGGCAAATTCCACCCGGAAATGTGACGTTGTGCTCATCCAGTGCCAGGTACAGAGCGCCCTGTCGAATGCCTGCTCCGACAGTGGCGGTGGTGGTATCGGCAGAAACATTGACATGGTTAATATGGCTGAGATCAATGACCAGAGTTCCATTGAGAGCTGACCATGCCTCAAAGCTGCTGTTGGTAAGCAAGAACTCGGAGCCATAATAGTCAATGAACGTAGACAGAGAGGGGTCTACTAACTGGTGACCTCCTGACCGAGGCACGGCTTTGAATCCCGATCTCTGAGCACAGCGGACGAGCGATGCCACTTCATCCGCTTCCTTTGCGTATGCTATCAGTGCTGGGAACTCATTGAACCTATAGCCGCATGAGTTTGTGTCCGGAATAGGCAGGGAATGATTTGACAGACTGAATCTTCTCGCCCAAACGGGCGTCCGTGTAGGTGTCATTGCTGGGGTCTATGATGCGGGTGTTGACATCGCCCGCAACAAGCGCCTGGGACACACAGGTGCGCAGAGTTTGACTGCTGTTGCTAGCAGTTGCTGCAGCTTCACTCAGGACTGACGCAGTGCATGCGAGAAGGGCACTCCCAACGAAGCCTCTAGCGGAGAGTCTCATGATGCAGATGCTGTGTGATTTTGATCCTTTTGCTGGCTATACCCATGTCAACTCCATGAGTCTGGTATTTATAGCAGAGCCTCTGGAATATCAGTATGGCTCTCATGCTAAATGTTAGCACTACTTGTCTAATCTGATACGAGGCGGACAGAATTAACGGGTGAATGAGCTATTCTGACAATCCTGTTGGGGGCTAATTTCTCGAAACGAGCAAAATCCCGCCATCGATCGGATTCTTTTTTGACGGTCTCATGAGCGCTTCCTATAGTTGCTCTATTCGACGGATTCTTTATCCTGAAGCGAACGGAGCAATTTCTGAGACGGTCTGACTATGTGCGCCTGCGGCAATGCGCAGCGCAGCGCAGGCGAAGTTGACTAGCTCGTTCTGCTCGGCAGTCCGCACAATACTTGGGCTCCTCTCTCAAGCGGGCTAATCCTCTCCGGACTGCACTTATTTTTATGCGGCATGGTTACTTTGTCTTCTAGTAGTAGTTACGTCTGCCTTACTGTGCGCGTCGTGCCTTGACCACCGGGGCGTGACTATGGCCCGCCACTCCCAGGTGGCCTACGGAGACAACTGTCGTCGCAGCAAGCAGGTCCACCCGGATAGGCTGTGCAGCTCGGAGGGATCATGTCAGCCCGTGTAATCAATTGTTTGCTTCAGCAATAATATGCAGCGCCCACTATGTCGCGCCAGTGACCGGATTGCGCGACAATCGGCGGCCGCGGCTGGCCGAAGCGAATCTTCCCACGTGCAGATCTCTGCCACGATCAAACATGCCGACTCCAATCTATGACCGTAATTCTATGATGTAAATTGGAATACAGAATCTGCTCGGGGACTTCCACTCCACCTTTGTTGAAATATTTTAGCGAAACACGGTTTGTTTTGGTGTCACCCAGACCGAAAATTAGGCAACTGGACGCATGGAAACCTGCTCGACCATGAGGTGCCGCCGTAATTGGTGATAGTCTCTTGACACTGCTAGTCGCGTATGATTTTCTTTATCCGAGAAAAAAGGGGATTACAGGTCTGATGACTATTGTTTATGCACTCAAAATGCTAGTCAGTCGATCTCGGAAGGTCTTTTGCTGTTGTTGAGGAAATGATCGTCGCCAGGTAGTCAGTGCTTGCTGTCGGGACAAACATAATTCTCCATGTCACGGACAATCATTCTTAGAGACCCGCAGACAAATGACCATTAATTTTGACGGGAACCCCTGTTCCAAAACGATAGCTTATTTCATTCAGTTCAAATCTGGTTGTATCTTTCACATGATTAAAACTTTCTCCTGCTTCTCTCCGGCTTTGTGCAGGAAGGTATCAGAAGTAGGATGTTCGACTCCATGAACTAGCATGAACGTTGATGTATAAATTCGACGAGTGTGCTTTTTATCGGGGATAAAACGGACATTAGCAATGACAGTTGAATATTCATCCGACTGCTGATCAATTTCATCAGATGCAGCTACGCATACTGGAGTCTCCATGGGCGATCTTCTGTGATATCAGATTTATGCTGTGGGTCACACATGAGATGTCATGAACTCCTTTGTTTTTGAGAGATTATCAATGTTGGATCCGTCCACGAATAGCGCATGGTTTGGACAGGCCTCTGTTGTAAGCGACATGTCAGGTATATCCCCTGAATATCATGCATCTTTTAGAAACTTTGCCCGATCCGGTCGCTCCATATGCTATACTCCGTACACAGCTCACTGGTACCGAATGTATGAGGAGGTTCCATAAGCGGACTATGCAGTGTGAGGACTGATGTCGCATGAATGGTTCCTGATGGTCTCTCTGCAACAGACCTTCAGCGTCATAGACGGCGCACTGCCACCACATAAACTATTCTCATGCAAGGAGCTATGCTGAGATCTCATCAAGTGTTGTAAGCTTCATCATCGCCGAATACATTGGATACCCGTAGTTCGCGATCAGAACCTGGGAGTTCCCAGGTGTCTATAAAGAGGCGCCTCACGCCTGCCCTTGGGAGCCATCATCAACAGCACAAGCCACTAATATTTTCACCTCAGACCTTACTCAATAAACACGCTTCTCTGCCATCTCTTTAGCCAACCAGTCATCATCATGAAGTTCTTCTCAGTTGCCACCCTCCTCGCTGCCACCGCTGTGGCCGGCGTTGTCCCTCAAAACTACCAGTGGATCAGCCACAATGACCGCTCGGAATCAGGGCTCACCAGGTCTCATGCCCAGAACGCCTGCGGAACGAACAATGTAAGGTGTTGTCAGGGCTTTAGTCCCGAGCACGGACTCTCCCGACAAGATGAGAGTCGCTTCCGGGCCGGATTGGGCGAGGGTATTCCCGGCGAATTGCAGGGCGGAAACAACTGTGGTCCTTGTAAGTTGATCTCCTTGAAGCTGTTTGCTAGGTACGGAAACTGATTAATTTGTCCTATGATAGGCGGCAATGACGAAGGATCTCGGAGCGTTGCCTGCTGCTCTGAAGGCGTGAGTGACCAGTATGCGTAACCCAGTGAGATGGTGATACTGACAATCATTGTGACACAGAGCAATAACCTCATCAGCCTCCCGTGCATTGCCATCGGGCGCCTAGTCTAAATGTCACTCTCTGTGACGCAAACATTCCAGGGGCGTGTCAATCTTGCTCCTCTCGGCTGATGGTTGATCTATGTACAGTCGAATGATTTTAGCGGGGTCGAAGATGTTCTGTTGATATTTGTACGTCATTGTATATAAATTGTTGGAGTTCATAACTCGTCATTGCCTCTTCTATAGTCTGTTGTTGTGGACAGTCAAAACCTTCGTTCAATGAGGAATTCGCTTAATATACACTCTCAATCCTTGAGACTTGAGTTAGTCAAAGCTCAGGACATGTTGTCTGGCAGTAAGAGTTGGAGGGTATCAAATACTGCATTTGAAGGACCGTTCACCATTTGTCACCCATAGAGCTGCAGGGGGCAAATTACAAGAACAGCACACCAGCAGTGACATAATGCAGTAATTACGAGTTTGTCAATGTTCTGATTCTTCGGAAACCATTCCGTGCCAACAAGCTCCGCCTATAGTCAGTCTACCTGATCAACTCTCGCAAGTACAGCGAATTTGATGCGGACAATGATTGAAGCTAAACATGCTCAATCTTCACAGCATAGTTTGAATCTTCTTTCTCCTAATAGGAGCTTTTTTGAGCCTCATCTGTCGGTGAATACGAGTTGAGTGGTTCTTGGCTGGCTCATGTCGATTTAGTCATCCGGCCTCTACCGGAAGAGATCCCGTTCCCCGCGACCCCGGATTCTCTTCCTTCGCTGCATCGCCCAACTGCTTGCTGAGAGTCCGGGGTCTTCTGTCTACGATCGCATGACACCCCAGAACCCTCCCCACAATGTCTAGTGTGCAAGTTTCTCATGTTCGTCGCTCCGACGCTTCTGATCGTCCCACTAAACGCCGGAAAGTGGCAATTGCTTGTGATGAATGCCGTGCCCGGAAGGTCCGCTGTGACGGGAGACAACCCAGTGCGTATTTCTTGCAATTGTGGGCTTCTTCGGACAGGACCAGCTTATGTCGCTAACTTTTGGTATCAAGTCTGTGGGCCGTGCGCAAAACGAGTGGACCAGGGAAGCCAATGTGTTTACACTGGAGAATTGGAGAAAAAGCGAGCAGTTCGCAAGTGAGTGCCTTCTCACTGCCTCAGGCACTAACGGGCTCTTTCCCGATTCCCCACCGGGCTACTAGGACTAACCGTCACCTTATAATGACAGTTATATCGAAAGTCTGGAAAGTCGAATCAAGCATCTAGAGAGTCCTCATTCCCTCTACAACGGTGGCGAAGGAGTGCCTGTGCAATCACATGATGGCTCGGACCATTTGCAGGTAAGCTACTTTTTGCCCCGTTGCCTATCTTCCATCATCGCAGCATATACCACCCGTGAGAGTAGTATGTTTTGGTCCCGCTTACACGTTGCAGCATTATACTTCTCCCTCTATGGGAGCATCGGTGGTGTCTCCATCGGGGCCATCAGGACTGTCAGTTCGCCATAATCGACCTAGGAGCATTGTCTCTGTAACGACTACAAATGCGGATCACCTTTCTCCGGCAAGAAGCACCTCACAATGTACACCGAAATCGAATGCCCGTCTTGTCACCGGGCAAACTTCCTATCAGTCTCCAAGCTCGCTGGACCAGTCACTTCGACTGAAAGACCCAACGGACAGTGTCAATGCCATGATGGGTGCCGTGGAGGATGAGCGTCCCACGCAGGGCTTTTTTGGCAGCTCTAGTGCCGCCAGCTTTATACGTCAGATCAAAACTGTCATAGATAAGAAGGTTTCCTCGCCGAATCGCCACACTTCAGATTCGATTCTAGGGGTCGGTCCGCCTCCCAGTTTGATGTCCACAAAGAAGCCGCGGCCACCTACAGTCCCTAATTATGTCCTTCCCCCACGAAAGACAGCCGATAGCCTCATGGAGGTATACTGGGAGTTTGTTTTTCCACTATATCCCCTCGTTGATAGTCTCCAGTTGAGAAGAGAATATGAGAGGATCTGGACAGGAGAGGCTCTTCAATCGGATGAGAACATGCTTATGTGTACCGTCAATGTCATCTTTGCATTAGCCTGTCAACTGGCTGATTTCATCCCGCCAGAGGAGCGAGAGGCTTCTGCGGATGCATTCTTTACTCGTGCAAAGGATCTTCTTCAATTCAATCTCTGGAACACGGGTTCCGCTGCTCTGATTCAATGTCTGCTTCTCATGGCCCAGTATTTGCAGAGCACCGATTCCGCCCATCAGTGCTGGATTGTCACCGGACTGGCTATTCGCAATGCCCAAGGGCTTGGCTTGCATCTTCCCCAGACGATCGCTCGTCTACATAATCCCCAGGAACAGCAGCTGGCTCGCAAAATATGGCACGGATGTGTCCTGATGGATCGGTATGTAACTTCGATCCGATACGTTAGTCTCGTCGAATGTTAATACGTTGTAGGGTTATATCTATGACATTTGGGCGCCCTGCCATGATCTCTAAGGCGTCATGTGGCTCGGTTCCTCTTCCAGCTACGGTGGATGAAGAGTATATCCCTGCAGTGTCTGGGTCCGAAGTGACACAGCCAGCAGACCGGCCATCGGTCATGGCGTTCTATGCAAAGTCTCTTGAACTTTATGAGATCTTGAATGACATTCTGTTGAGCCTTTATAGCCCCACAACCGATGAAAGCCCAGAAGACATTTATGACTATTACTTCAACAAGGAAGCAAATCAAGGAGAGCGGACGATATTTGAACTTGATCGGGCACTTACGAAGTGGTCCCGAAGCCTACCATCACACTTACGAGGTGAATCCCATCTAGGAGGTGGATATACGGTCTTCTACCACCAAAGTGTTGTATTGCGTGCAAGGTGCGTTCTTAAGTGTGCGGTGAATGGTGAACTGCCAAACTAACCCTCCCACAAGATTCCTTCATGTAAGGATGCTTCTCTTCAGACCTATCCTGTCTAGATACTGCACTTCACGTGAAATCGGGGTCGTGGATCCCTTGATTTCCCTGCAAGACTCTTTTCCTCAGCGGGTTGCATTGCAATGCTCGACCATATGCGTAAAGGTTGCGCAAGAGGTTATCGGGCTAATTCACAGTAACTTGCCCGCCGATGGAAGTTCAGGCCCCCTTCCTGCTTGGTGGTACAACATTCTGTGTGAGTAGTCCAGCCCTGGTGAATATTTTCAGCGAAGCTCATTGAGGACAGACGTTTATACCGCTGCCACCGTTCTCATAGCCGGTCGTCTCTGTTCTGCTATATTAGAAGAGGTGACTGAAGCTGCAATGACGCAATCATGGGATAACGCTTTGGAAGTATTGCAAAGATATCACAGCCACAGTACATCCGCCCGGCGATGTGTTGCAGCTCTCGAAATTCTCTACGAAAGGGTAGTGTCCGAAGGGCCTCCACTCCATGACCACCCAGCGAGCGCTTTTCCCTCAAATCCTGCATCTAACGGTCTGGGCGACCTCGCCTTAGGGGAGGGTATCAATTCAATACTGTTGGATGGCCTTGAATTCCCAGACTTTCAAGATATGTCATGGTTGAACAGTGTTCCAAGCAATTTATTCTGAGCTGGCTTCGTGAAGGTGAACTTTTTTTTTTTTTTTTTTTTATTTACAAAATTTATGGAACAAACTTGCTTTGGGGGTCTGCTCCACGAGAGTCGATTTGCAACCTGTTCTCTGAGCTGACCGGCTGATTACGACATGGCATTGGTCTAGGCAGCTGTGGGAGAACGTATTGTCTTATCTTAAGGATAATGACGACGTCTTTCGAGGCTGTAAGTCATCCAAGATGGAGCTGTTCATTTTCCTTCCTGTTATCAAGTTGTAATATCACTAATTCCCCAGTATAGGATCTTTCATTCAAGCCATAACCATATTAATCCGTAACAACATCTTGCGTCTTCTGATCTGCGCGCGTAGCAACGAAATGTATGGCAATGATCGAGGGCAGTGCGCAGACTCCAATGATAGCACACATGACGCCAGCTGCACCGCCCAGACCCAACGTCTCGAACATGTCAGGGAAATAAAATGGACCGATCTAAAACCATCAGCAAGGAACCACTAGCGCTGTCTGCTCTTTGACTTACAAAACCATACACATGTCGAAACACGTTGATGCAGACGCCGACACTAGTCGATGCTTCCTTATAGCTGTCAACAGCGAACGAAATAAGGATTGTCGTTATGATTTGGTTTCCAAAGCTGGCGATTGCGGCGCCGACGCATGGGGTCACGTTCCAGCTGGTAGCCTTCTGTAGCTGAAAGCCCCATACGAAAAGGCCAGCAATGACAGTCGCAAAGCCAATGTATGAGAGCCATAGCCTGTCTGCGGGCCGGTGGTATCCTCTTCTTCTATGCATGGCTTGCAGAAACCGGTCCGACATAGGGCCACTCAACTGCTCACCAAGGACACACCCGATAATGATAGCAATGAATTGCAGACCAATTTGCTGCGAATCGAAGTCGAACTTCTCGCCAAAAGCAATTGGCATTTCGACAATCAAAGCAATGTTTCCATAACAGAACACTATAGAATGAGCGCATGCAGGAATCAGCACCCTAGGAAGCCTCGTAAAGAGAAGTGGCTCGATGAATTCGCGAAGCTTAAGCGGACGCGGGTTGATCCGGCGAGGGATGAACTTCTGGACGAAGCGAGATCTAGCCACGCCTGCATCATGAGTATCGCCGTCGGTCGGAATGTACAGCGTTTCGTCACCCAAGAGCAGGTAAGCGATGAACTGCCCGAAGTTCATCATGGCGAATATCCAATAGATCCACTCAAACCCAATTCGCTTTGTAACAAAACCCATAATAAATGGCCCACCTGGAGTTCCAAGCGTCAACATGAGTGTCCACCACCCAAGCTTTTGCGCTCGTTTCTCTGGCTCACACAGCTCCGTGATCACACCACTGCCTATTCCAATAGGGGGAGAAATGAGGATTGCGGCGAGTACTCGAGTGGCCATTTGTGTCCCGTATGTAGTACAGCGAGCTCCACCGATATTGCAGACCATACTTCCAAGGACCGAAAACAGGAATACATGGTATCGTCCGTAGGTGTTGGCAATCGGTCTCCAGAAAAGGGGACAAATTCCTAAGAGCAAGATCTGTACAGATGATCGAATGTGAGTCAGGCGGTACGTCCCATACTAAAGGGGAGGAATTGACCCTGTGGAGGAAGCGCTGAGTAAACGATAGATATCACGTACTTGAACGGAGGTGAGATAACTGGCTTGTGGCACCGTTATGTTGTACCTTTCAGCCATGATGTCGTAGGCCGGTATAATTCCCGCCGCCATGAAGGTTGCGGCCATTGAATGAAACGCCACCATCAAGATATGGGCATTCTTCTTCCAGACAGGCCAGTTCTGAGGGTTGGTGGGAGAAGGATCTGTCCAAAGGCTCCTGTTTGGCTGTTGGCCAGGTGGCGTTGGAGATACATTCTCAAGATGAACCTCTTCATGACCGTTCTTCTTCAGTGTGTCAGAGCGAGCCATGTCGGTGCCCAAGGATACATCTTCTGTCATGGTGACAGAGAAGAGTGCGTAGGGCGTGAATCGAGGCGCCGAAATATGAGTGGTAAAGCTAATTAGGCTAGAGGCAGCAGCAGTGGTAGTGAAGACTTAATTAACACTTCCCACAGCTCTATGCACAAATACTAGTCTTCAGTCTACTTTATATGCCAGGCAACCCTGCACCGCGGTGAGCGTCCCGGGCCCCTTACAGGCCAGGACCGTCGGGATTGGAGCTGAACCAAGCTGAACGCCATATCAACAGTGTGCACGGTCCTTGGGCAGCTGGATGCCAAGGATGTATATCATGGGGATCACCACCAATTGACCACTGAAGTGAGGAATTGATTCCGAATTGTGTGCTCAGGAGTGGCCAACGACCTGCTACCCGAGGTTATACACTCCATACCCAGAACAACGATGCACGGGATGGCATCCGACGGAATGTTCGGTGATGGCGTCGGATGCGGGTCCGTTGATCTCGCCCAACTTTATAAGACCCTGATGTTGTCGCGAGTCTGGGGAGAAGCTAGTTGCTAGTGTGTACCGGGGTTCAGGGGGTCCTGATCCGGGGTACGGAAGGATCCCCGCATTTGGCTGACTTGAGATCTAACTTTCCGTGTCGGAAGTTCTATCGGCTAGATTCACAAAAATGGCTCTCAACTTCGGATGTCTTCTTGGCTGGGTGATATCACGTACTGTATGGACTTTGGTTAGTTTTTTTTGAGTCTAGTGAATTCAGCGTGGACTTCCAGTAAAGACTGACGCGACTGATGACGCTTTGATAGGCAATCCGGCAGTGAGCACGGCTCTTGCAGTCGCCTTTGACCTTTATTGTAGGATTGTCTTAGGGTAGTGTCGTCAGTGCAAAGACGTGTCTTTTGGTGTCAAATTGTGGCTACCTCAAGTAGATGTGGATGCACGGCAGAGTATACTAATATACTGCTATTCACTGCAAACTAGAGCTCGCGAGGCCACTGCTCCTCATGGTAGTTCATGACAGCTTCTCCACAGATAATTCAGCTGATGAGGGGATCAAAGCTACAGGAATTATCGGGACAATGCTGGCCGAGCATTTTCTCCGTCGAAGGAACTGACAACAATTTATCCGTCTCGCTTGGCTGCTGAATTCCCCGCGATTTTACCCCGGATCTTAAGCGACTGCATCTGCAGCCATTAAAAAGCTCCTAACAGTATCATTGCAGTAATTTCTTCCTGTCATGCATCGCGCATACCTCTTGGCCCTGCACAACAACATGTTGTCAACCTCCTCATTCGGGGTAATGCCACCCGCACTCTAGCACTCTCGCCATCACAGAAACTATAAGATGGCATACAACCTATTCTCCACAGAACCCTTCAATTCCGTATACAGGGTGCATAACAATCTCCTCTCAATCGCACCACCCAAAGCGCCATCACAATGCGCCTCCTCCACCCCCTCATCCCAACCTCCCTCCTCCTCACCCTCACCTCCGCGACCCTGCACACCTCCCAAACCAACACCACCATAACCCTGACCAACAACCGCCTCACAGCAAACTTCTCCAAATCCCAAGGCCGAATCACCGACCTCTACCTCGACAACCAAGACCTCCTAGGTCCCCAATCCGGCGACACCGGCGTTGGCCCCTACCTCGACTGCTACTGCATCCCCTCCGGCTTCTACACGCCGGGCTCCACCTCCCCAGCCCTGCAACTCTTCACCGGCACCGACAAATCCGGAACCAGCTATGCAGGCGTCCTCATGGACGAGACCTACCCGCCGACGGGCCAACATTTCCAACAATACTGGTTCCTGCGCGACGGCGAAACAGGGCTCCATACATTCAGCCGGTTAGCGTACTACAACGAGACGACGCCGTATTTGCGCAATCTGCAGGAATTCCGCACGCTGTTTCGGCCCAATACGGAGCTTTGGACGCATTTGTCTTCGAGTGAGGTGCAGACGGCGCCGTTGCCGAGTAAGAAGGCTGTGGAGGAGGAGGTGGTGGTGCAGGATGCGACCTGGACGTTCAATAATACTCCGACTGATGAGTATTATGTGCAGTTTGCGGATTATTTTACTAAGTATACGTTTTCGAATGGTATGTTTTTTGTGTCTAGTGTCAAGGGGGTGGGCTTGGCTGACTTGTGGTTTTGCTTACTAGCGTGGAGGGATAATTCCGTTCATGGCATGTATGCCGATGGGAGTACCTCGAATGGGAGTACGTTTGGGGCTTGGTTGGTTATGAACACTAAGGTATTTCGGATCTTGGAAGGTTTATCGGAGCCGTGGCTAATGGTGCATTCTTCTCTGTTCTGTTTAGGATACTTACTACGGTGTATGTCACTGCGTTCTCTTAATTGGTTGGAGAAAATGCTGACCATCTGCATTAGGGCCCCCTGCACTCGGATCTCACCGTCGACGGCATCGTCTACAACTACCTGGTGTCTAATCACCACGGCGAAGGCACTCCTAACATCACCTACGGCTTTGATCGCACTTTCGGCCCTCAATACTATCACTTCAACGGCGGAAAAGGCTCCACTGCGTCTCTAGAAGAGCTGAAATCTGACGCGGAAACCCTGGCAGATCCGAGCTGGAACGTCGACTTCTACGACTCCATCGCCAAACACGTGGTCGGATACACCCCTTCCAGTCAACGCGGCAGCGTGCAAGGGAAGATCAAGCTACCCAAAGGTGCCACGAGACCTATCGCAGTCCTGACCGTGGACGGGCAGTATTTCCAGGACAACTCGGTGAACTCATCATCATACCAGTATTGGGCTGAGATCGACGACTCCGGACATTTCAGCGTGGACCATGTCAAAGAGGGCCCGTACCGACTTACTGTATACGCCGACGGAATCTTCGGTGACTTCGTACGCGACGGTGTGCAAGTGAAGGCCGGCAAGAAAACCACCATCCAAGAAACCTGGGAGGCTGAGTCCGCAGGCACGGAGATCTGGAGACTAGGCACACCAGACAAGTCTTCCGGGGAGTTTCGACATGGAGTTGCCAGGGACCCCACACACCCTCTTCACCCGCCAGAGTACCTGATCTATTGGGGTGCATATGATTGGCAATCTGACTTCCCGGACGGAATCAACTATACCATTGGTACCAGTGATCCAGCAACCGACCTGAACACGGTCCACTGGTCTGTATTCGGGCCGACACCGAACGATCCGCGCGTCGAATACGATACCACGCACGACTGGACGATCAACTTCCCTTTGACTGAGGACGATCTTGCAGAGCGGTCCAAGGCCACTCTCACAATTCAACTGGCGGGAGCGAAAGCAGCATCCGGCAATACGGACGTATACAATGCATCGGAGCCATATGCCAACCTCGCGCTGGAGAGTTATATCAACGATCAGGCGGAACCTCTGACCCTTCTCGTCGGGTTCAATCAGTCGAGCAGCTGCATTGTACGGTCGGCTGTGAGTTGCTATCAGGTTCGCTCGCGCATGGAGTTCCCGGCGGACTGGCTGAAGGTCGGCAACAATGTTTTGACCTTGCATCTCCCGTATAACGCGACGGATACGGAGACCGCGATTTTGCCGGCGACCGTGTATGTGCAGTACGATGCGTTGAGGTTGGAGGTTTCGTAGAAGGGTAAGGGTGTGTATAGACGGTTGTCGAACTTTAAACGCATTTTGCGAATAGTAAAGGCAGAGGCCGTGTTAGGTGCTGCTTCTAGTGCTAGAATATGAAAGGATCAATTTCATAATTTGGAGAATTCACAGTCAAATAAGACTATTCGGATAGTAGATCGCCATGCATATTGTAGACTATTTCCTTAGACATCCTGTGTTTATGATGATTGTGCAGAACAGGTCGTCTCATTCTGCCTCCGCAGCCGATCTACGGCCAGACTCCTGTCATCCTGTCTGTCATTGGCTCCGAAAAGCTCGAGCCACTACCAGCTGCGTCAATTCTCATATTTGAGATCATACGCCACCAATCTGAGCCGTTGTGGTCCGTTCCAAGGTCAGCATAACCGAGGCAGTTCCGGGTAAATTGGCCGATTGCCTGATAGTGGCATCACGCGCTGTTCTGTATACGACACGTTATTCACTTGTCTGTCAATGCTTCACATGCCGTCCTCTAATTTCGTTTTCAATATTGTAAGCTCGTGGAGACTCTCATTGAGGACACGATCTCGAAGTTTTGTTAGAGCCGAACAATAATGAGAGACGCGAAGAGGGTCCAAAGCTGAAGCAAACCTTGGTCTCGGTGAACTTTCAGATGATCGGCCTTACCTAATGCGGTAAAAGCCTCGGCCCATCGGGGCATGCTAAAGGGATACTAATCCACTCGCATTGATTGGCAACAATGACTTAAAACCAGGCCGTGGACGGATTTACTTCCCCGCATTCTTGTTTCTGCAGCTCTTGTTGTATTTCTGCAAGGCTCTGGACTTTCTTTTGTTTTGGTGGTATCTGAAGCTGCGACGTTAGCACCAACGCGACCATGTCGAAGAACTTCACCCGCGCCGAGGTTGCGCAGCACAACACGGAGGACTCTGTCTGGTGCATTATCGATCACCGCGTTTACGATTTGACCGATTTTATCGACGCACATCCCGGTGGCAGTGTTGTTCTGAACCAGATCGCAGGCACGGATGCCACGGTCGATTTCTATAACCTTCATCGACAGGAAGTCCTCGAGAAGTACAAGGATCTTTGCATTGGAACGGTAGCCGGCGAAACCCCGGAAATTGTCACCCCCGAGCCCGGCAGCCTGAGCCAGGTTCCTTACGCCGAGCCTCTGTGGTTGCGTCCGCAATTCAAGAGCCCCTACTTCAATGACAGTCACCGTCGTCTTCAGAAAGCGCTCCGAGAGTTCACTGATCGCTATATAACCCCTGAGGCGCAAGAGAAGGAGAAGGATGGCACCTATATCAGTCAGGAGTTGATCGATCGCATGGCGGAGGCGGGAATTCTAGCAATGCGCTTGGGTCCAGGAAAGCATTTGCATGGGCGGAAGCTCCTGGGCGGGGTCATCGATGGAAAGGAGTTCGACTACTTGCATGACATGGTGCTCTCACAGGAGTTGGTGAGATCTAATGCTCGGGGTTAGTTGGCTCTTCATGTTTGCCTGGGCCAGAGGAACGCTGATACTGACAGATTGCAGGCTTTCAGGATGGTAACATGGCAGGCATGTGTATCAGCTTGACTGCCGTTCAGCAGTGGCTTCGCAATGAGCCTCTTCGGCAGAAGATCACTGACGAAGTCCTGTCTGGAAAGAAGAAGATGTGCCTGGCGGTTACAGAGGCATTTGCTGGTAGTGATGTCGCTGGTCTTCGCACAACCGCGAAGAAAACCCCTGACGGCAAGCACTACATCGTGAACGGAACCAAGTACGCATACCTCCATTCTTTTTGCTCAAAGGTACATGAACTTACCACTATTCCAGGAAATGGATCACCAATGGCATGTTCTGTGATTACTTTGTCACTGGCTGCCGGACCGAAAAGGGCTTCTCTGTGCTCTTGATTCCCCGCGACGAAGGGGTCGAGACTAAGCAGATCAAGACCTCCTACTCGACAGCGGCTGCCACCGCGTTTGTTCAGTTTGAGAACGTCAAGGTCCCTGTGGAGAACCTTTTGGGTGAGGAAGACAAAGGTTTCATTGTGATTATGAGCAACTTCAACCACGAGCGCTTCATGATGGTTTGCAGTGTGGTCCGCATGTGCATGACCGTTGTGGAGGAGTGCATGAAGTGGTGTAACCAACGCATTGTCTTCGGCAAGAAGCTGATTGAGCAGCCTGTTATGCGGCAAAAGTAAGTCATCCATCTGGATACCCTTCCGACAGGCTAACATATTTCAGACTTGCCCGAATGATCTCACTTTGCGAATCGAACCAGGCCTGGCTGGAATCTATTGCATACCAGATGTGCAACATGACCTATGCGCAGCAGTCAGCTAATCTGGGTGGCCCCATTGGCCTGCTCAAGTCTCATGCCACCCGCTCAGCACAGGAGATCGCGGACCTTGCGACCAACATCTTTGGTGGACGAGGCTTGACCCAGACCGGCATGGGTAAGGTCATCGAGATGTTCCACCGGACATACAAGTTTGATGCCATCTTGGGTGGCACGGAGGAGATTCTGGCCGATTTGGGAGTTCGTCAGGCGATGAAGAAGTTCCCCAAGGCGATGTTGTAAAAATAAATCTCAATAGACCCTGCGGGACAGGGTATAGTCATCGGGTATTGGCTACCGTTATCACGTTTACCTCACCTTCCATCTGCCTTAAGTTATAGGACTTGATTATACATATAGGTCATTGAACCAGTCTGATCCTCAAGATTGTGCTATCGGTTGTCCTCATAAGTGTTGAGTAAAAGCGTTCGTGGTTCTTAGACGGGTCCCATGGGTTCATAATAGATGCTACTACCAAGTGCATTCGCCTTATGACACAGGTTCCTGCAGGAAGGTTTTCAGACTTGAAACATAGTCGGCGAGTTCTAGGTGAAATTTAGGTTTTGTGATAAAGTTGAAGCTGTAAGTCTGTGAAGGAAGCTAGCTTTAGCAGTAGTTGTGTCGCACTGACCGGCCACTCCCCTACATCAAGCCTGGACTCTCAAAGGGAGATGCTCTCGTGAAGGTGTTAGTATCTGGGATGGTGCTCCTTATCAACTCTTCGTGTCACGCTACTGCCTCGTCAGCTAACGTAATCGGATGCTAATCCCATCATCACTCATCAGCATGTTTTCATTAGAGCGGAGTCTGCAACCTCTCAGACCAATCAGTAATGCTCTAAGGAGTAAATATATGTTGTATGCTAAGAGTAATTGTAGTGCAAGCTAATTGATCAAGTTGGTTGACACTAAGTAGCATGTAGTATTACTACTGACATTCAATTGCCGTGAGATATATACTAGTAACGTGAATCAATAACTCTGACCCAGTCTATAATGCTCTACGACTGGTCTAAAAGTTCTGCACAAAATCAAAGGATAGCACATGTGTTTTAAAAGTATGACCACTAATATCATATGTAGAATGATGTTATCTGACTGTCTTTGATGCGCAGATATCGCAGATGGTAATCTGAACAATAACTAGTTATGCATCTGGAAAGGCGCGATCCTGACTAATCACTGGTTACGAGGTTCTCCGCAGGCTGCAATGAAGTCGTAAGCGCCCTCAAGTCCCCTCTTAAATCAAGACATCCTCGCACTCACATCCCACTACGTCTCCTTCCAAAAACATCTTTGTCATCCACCAAGATGGCTGAAAGCACTGGCTCCTTGAGCTCGGACAGTGTGTTGGCGATCGCTGCAACAGCTCTTCGCGGAGATGGGGCCGCGCCGCCTAGTCTCAAGACGCCATACGAGGCGATCGCTCTAGTTGGCCATGCGTCTATGACAGCAGTTGGCTTTCGCTTAGTCGGGCTTGGGGAAGATCATACGCTAGGTATGTGCGATGCGACCACCGCAAGGTAATCAAGTACGCCTTACTGATGATTCTCAACCTTGCAGAGAACCAATCCGAGAGCCCCTCACTCCCCGCAGAATGGAACGCCAACACGGCCTTTGCCTTCCGTTACGCCCACTCACAGTCGTCGATGCAATATCTGCTCAAGATTAGCCGACTTGGAAATAACGCTGTCATTTTCGCCTTGGCTCTGGGCGATGACAGAACTACATCCTTCGATCTCCCCGTGAAAGACTACGTCTCCGAATCCGCCCTTCCCTTGACCACTACCGGCGATGATCTCCCAGCAGCACTGCGCGAAGCATTTATATCTCCCTCTCGTGTCCAGGACCTGATCGGATTGTTCAAGATCAATGTCATTCAGAAGCTGGCGCCTGGATTGTACAAAGAAGGCTACGAAGATTCGTCCGATCAGCCACAGGAGACGTTGCGCGAGAGAACTCTGGAAAGACCTCCACGCCATGATCCCTTACGAGACGATCCGATGCCCCAACCCGCTCGCCCGTATCCATTTGACGACCCCCTAGCGGTGCCTCCCCGACGACCCATTCCCGCGGGGGACTTTCCTCCACCAGGATTCGAGGATGAGTTCGAGATCCAAAGACCACCCCGAGGATACCCGGGAGGTATGGGGGGAAGAAATCCGTTGAGTATTGGAGACCGCGATTTGTACCCTGCCGGATTAGGCCCAAATGATCCTTTGCGAGGAGGCGTAGGCCCTGGGCTGGGAGGTGGCGGCGGCGGTGGTGGTGGTATGCACCCCACGTTCGATGATCCTCTGTTTGGTGGACCTCGTGGACAAGGTTACGATCCCCAAGCACCACCAGGATCGCGGTATGATCCGGTAGGACCCGGACAAGGGGCACCGTTTGGACGAGGACAGGGGCCGTATGGGGGACGCGGGTTTGGCGGAGGGTTCGGGGGATTTGGTGGTGACATCATTTAAGCGCGGCGGCTGAGGCTGAGGGAGACCAAAGTTTGAACTACACGGTACATAATTCGTTAGTGTGCACGACGTGATGACACAGAATGAGTGATGATATGATTTTTGTATGTATATGAATGTTAGGATTAGTGTTATTCTGTTATGAAATAAGTCGATATGTTTTATATTTTGAGTAATCAATAAGTTCAATGGATGTTCTGTTTCTGTTGTGGCGGGAACCATAGAGGCTGTAGTAATTATTCTGGGGCAAAGAGAAAAGAACGAGGAGAACAGGGTAAGTGTGGCTAATGCAAAGCTGGAAGGGGAAGGCGGGCGGTGTGGCGCACGGACTGGGAAGCCCAGTTTTGGGCGAGTTTCGCACCACCGCAGAGAACATGAGTTAGTGACTGCTAGTTGGACCTCTGACTGTTCCACTGACCACCACCAAACCAGCACCACCGCCATCCCAGCTCACACCTCCCTTTCCCTATTCTCTCTTCCCAAGTCTTCCCCTCCCCCAACCTTTGCCTTCATCTTTCTTCTTCTTCCCCCCCCCAATCCCTCCACATTTCTCCCCCCCTTATTTGCCCCTCTTATCTTTCTTCAATCTGTAGGCGATAGGGTTTGCTGTCCCATCGTTGATCCGTCGTTCAATTTCCGTTGGTGCACCGTGTCTCGTCCGACCGACCTGGTTCCCCTCTAAGAAATCCACGCCTCCCTCTCACGAGACCTCCCCTCCCCAGTTGGTCCCGCTCCACCACCCCTCGGTTGCATTCGTCCTGAACTCGCTCTCTTTTCCCCCACCACCCTCATCTTCACTCGCGGTGGTTACTTTCAATGGACAATAACATGGAGATCGATACGGCGCGGTCGCCCGAACCTCACCACCTCTCCCCGACCACCGACCCGGGGTCCATACCCACCCTCGACGGATGGATCGAAAGCTTGATGACCTGCAAGCAACTAGCGGAGGAAGATGTCCGGAGGCTTTGTGATCGGGTGTGTGCTGCTTCTGCTGGGAACTTAGGTGTTTTTTGGAGATGAATAATCCTAATCGTGGTCGTGTTTTTTTCTACATAGGCAAGAGAGGTTCTGCAGGATGAGTCGAACGTGCAGCCCGTGGTATGTGATTGACTTTTCTGCTATTGTTGTTGTGGCCCTTCCCGCGCTGCCCGGCCACTGGTCGTGGCCCCGCGGCCGTTGCGACCGATCGGAACTGACTCTCTTCAATCTATAGAAATGTCCAGTGACTGTGTGCGGTGATATACACGGCCAGTTCCACGATCTGATGGAGCTCTTCCGCATTGGTGGCCCCAATCCGGATACAAACTACCTGTTCATGGGTGAGTTGGCGCCTTGTGACCGCTTATGCCAGTCGTCCCCCTTGGCTCACCCGCCCGCCCACTAGGTGACTACGTCGACCGTGGTTACTACTCTGTAGAGACCGTCACGCTCCTTGTCTGCCTCAAAATCCGTTACCCCCAGCGTATCACCATTCTGCGAGGAAACCACGAATCGCGCCAGATCACGCAAGTCTACGGCTTCTACGATGAGTGCCTGCGCAAGTACGGCAACGCTAACGTGTGGAAATACTTCACCGACCTTTTCGACTACCTCCCCCTCACCGCACTTATCGAGAACCAGATCTTCTGTCTGCACGGCGGTCTGAGTCCGTCGATCGACACCCTCGACAACATCCGCTCTCTGGATCGGATTCAGGAGGTCCCGCACGAGGGTCCCATGTGCGACCTTCTGTGGAGTGACCCCGACGACCGATGCGGCTGGGGTATCTCTCCCCGTGGTGCTGGATACACATTCGGGCAGGATATTTCGGAGGCATTTAATCACAACAATGGCTTGACTCTGGTGGCACGGGCGCACCAGCTGGTAATGGAGGGTTACAACTGGTCCCAGGATAGAAATGTGGTCACGATTTTCTCCGGTATGCTGCACCACGGCAAATTTTGGGCTCTTGTCTCGCGGGATTGGCGGTTACGGCTAACCACATCTCTCCAGCTCCTAACTACTGCTACCGCTGCGGTAACCAAGCCGCAATTATGGAAATTGACGAGCATCTGAAATATACCTTGTATGTGGCTGGCCCCATCATTGCAAACTGGAGAAGAAATTACTGACACAATCTACAGCTTACAATTCGATCCCTGCCCGCGCGCAGGAGAACCCATGGTCTCGAGGCGCACACCCGACTACTTCCTGTGATTTGATTTTTGTGATAGACATAACCGGCTCACCTCTGGCAAGTTGAGGTTCTCCGACCCTTCGAAAGGGCTCCTGGGACGTTTGGCAACGGAAAGACACAACCAAAACGGTCTGGCCTAAATAATTGTATGTCCGTATTTCTGACCGTGTTGATACCAATTCATGAGGATAAAAGACGTACCGAGACTTGCTGTTTATTCTGTACTGTCATAACACATACCTTGTGTTTTTGTTTTGCCACTCGGTGGGGTGCTGCCCTCTGTCGCTGCCTGAAAACCGGTATGCGCCTCAGGTAGACATACACGACCACTTGCATTGTGGGCTTTGAGCCCAATGTGACAGACCAACCGTAATTGTTCATCCTTTTGTGCCAATCTGTCGTGTTTTCAGGCATATTCGAGCATGTGGTGGATATGTCCTGCATTGTTGCCCCTCTCTCATCAAATCGAATGAGCTTCCCAAGTCTTCTTTCTGCTTCACTCAAGAATACAAGGAAAAGTTTGAAATCTCTAGACGTCGGCATTCTACAAATGATGGTCCCTGAATATACTATACGTCATGCACACGTCACGCTTCTTCACAAATCACAAGAATAATGTTGGCATATATGACTAGTGTCTCAAATATGTACAGACAAAGACACCTAGTAATACAATCATAACAATCACAGGCATAAAACATGAACAAGAACAAGAACACTCACACAGAAAAGGAGGAATGGCTAAGCTCAAGGAGGAAAGCAAAACACAGCAGACTAGCAACATATTTGCTATATATACAAAAGTTAGATCTTCATCCCCTGGGTCTTCTTAGCCAATAACTCTTCGACTTCTTTCTCGTGCTTGGAGAAGTTGTCGACGAGGTTATCCCACATCTTAGGCTCGTGCTCGTGTCGCTTGTTGCTTGTCCAGGCGTAGTCTGTGATGGTGAATGGGCGACTCGACTCGAACATGAATGCCATTGAGGCTTCGGAGATCCGCATGGCCGGTGGGTCGACTTCCGTGGCGGCTTTGAATTCTTCGTAGGCTACGCCGTGAGGGACCACTGGTTGATCAGTAGGTTAGCTGTGTGGCTTTCTTAAATTTGAAATCGGGGGGTAGGGGTGATGCTTACTTCCACATTCGAAGGAGACACTTCCAGGCTGGAAGGCGTCGGAACGACCGCCGTAGTCACCATAGATGAGACCCATCAATTCGGATGCGGCGTTGCGGTGGTAGTATGGAGGTCGGTAGGTGTCTATCATTGTTGTTGTTAGCGAGGTGGGAGAGTCAGGCAACTTCAGTCTGTGGGCGGAACGTACGCGATGCAACATCCCAGCGAGGAGAGAAGATGAGGAGATCGGCCAAAGGAGCCGTGGGATCCCGGGACTTGGCTGTAAGAACACAGAAGATAGAGGGATCAATGTGATCAACGGAAATGGAACCGACGTTGACGAACTTGGTCATGTCGTACTTGTAGGGCACCTGTATGATGAATTAGTATACTGTTGAATGGAAGCATGCCGGAAAGGGAATGAAAGCATACATAGTTGCCGTGCCAGGCAACCACGTCAAACGGACTGTGGTTCTGTGTGCTCTTGAAGAACTTTCCGCCCAGCTTGTACACAATCTCCCAAGGCTCCTTGGAGATCTCATACTTGGCCGTGGGGTAGAGGAAGTCCCGTGCATTGGCGAGACCGTTGGCACCCAGAGGTCCCAGCTCGGGGAGTTCAAACTGACTACCCCAGATCTCAAGAATGTAACCACGAGAAGGCCCATCGGGAAGCTCTACGCGGAAACGGATGCCACGTTGGATAATGACAATCTCTCCAGGCTGGACGAACAAGGGACCAAATTCGGTCTGAATATCCAGTGCACCCTGTTGAGGGACGATAGCCATCTCACCATCAGAGTTGACAAAAGCCTTCTTGGTCATGCTGGTGTTAGCAACATAGACGTGGGTGGCCAGACCCTCACGAAGGGTTGGCTCGCCTGAGCCAGCCACAGTCTTCAGACCAGACACAAAGTCTACTTCGCCATTGGTTGGGATGTCGAAGGGGTACCAGGCAAGCTGGGTAGGAGAGACATGGACGCGAGGGTTCAGAGGGAGAAAGTTGGATTCTGTGTCCTTGTTGTCGGGAAGATCGGTCTACAGTCACTGTCAGTAGATAGCAATCGTCAATGACAGAGCTGCAAGACATACGAATCCCTGGTGGGCAACAGCCGGACGGGCACGGTACAGCCATGCCTTCTTGTTGCAATGTCTCGGGGCAATGAAGGCCGTGGCCGTCATCTGCTCAGCGTACAAACCAAAGCGGACGTTACGAGGGCTGTTTTGGCCCTGTGGAAGGGTGCCAGGCACAGCCTCAGAGGCGAACCTAGTAGATTAACTACATCAGCCAGTTGAATCGCTAGATGCAGGGGAGCGCTTTGACATACGAGTTGCCGAATCCGGCTTGGTACTGTTGCGCTTGAGTTAGTGACGGTAAGAAGAGGGTAGGCATTGGCACAGAACACTTACTTCATAGGGATCATTCCGTCTAGTAGCGAAGGAGGGAATGGTACCATCCTTCTGTGTCTCTGCCCAGTGGAAGATCTTCTGGTATTCTTTGGGGTCGGCGAGGTCACTTGTGGAGGGCATGATGGGTGATAGGTCTCAGGAAAGTAGCTATTGTAGGTGGAAAAAGGGTTTGTGTAAGGGAACACGGTGTTTATAGAGTCATGAATCGTGATATATGGGGAGGACAGCCGGGGTAGGTTCCAGCAGGCTCATATACTTGAGCTGGTGGAGTCGGTCCAAGCGGGAGGCCATTATAGAGCAATTAATCAGACCGCTGGCCATCCGGATATCCGGGCCAGCTGATTCAAAGACAGCAAGTCAGGATTGATGGATGAGACCAGAGTTTGGGAGTATTGGATGGATTGCATACGATATTGGAAGTTGGCGAGCAATTGGGGGGGATGTTCGGCAGATGTCGAGGGGGGAGTGTTGCCGAGAGTAGTACAAGCAATGAAGGACTCAGGCAGCATCAGGCACCTCAGGCATCGACCAGTGGAGCGACCCCACATGAGTCAGGCCTGAGTAACGGTGGGGAAGTTTGCCCGCCTTTGCGCTTGCGGGGACACCCCCGGGTAACAGCCATCGCTGGAATTGCCGATGTATACTGCTCTTCTGCATATACTTCAAAAAGCAATTTCTAACTATCTGCTTTGTATCACCAATATCTCACAGCTTACGGCAATACAAAAAAAGAAAAGGTAAAGAATATCATAAGTGGAGATTCCTGTATTTAGTGTGGCGAATTGGTTATGTAGCTGTATTGAACTATATCACTGTCTAATTCAACAAGCTAATCTTGCCTGCCGTCAAGGCAAATACAATAGGCATATAGACACCCATTCCAGCCTCCCTAAGGACTTTAACGTGCTCAACCCGCCGTCTAGATGCAAATTGTGCTTCAGGGATCTCTCCGCAGCTCCCCAGAGGTCCGTACGCGAATCTCTGCTCGGTAGACCACGGACTACCACCGTTGACGAACTGTACCCAACGGCTCCGCATCTCCTGACCAACCGCTTGTGCAGCAGGGTTGAAGGACAGGTCGACGCCGTCAAACAAGAACAGCAGGTCAACAGCATGATGGGCTCGGCTGGATGCCTGCCACGGGTTGGCCTGGTCAACCACATACTTGTAGACTCGTTTCCCAGCTGCCTGTAGTTTCTCGGCAACAACTTCCACTGGCAGCGTATAACGGACATCATTTACAAGGTCCAGTGCACCCAACTTGCAAGCAGTGGGTCGATCCGCGACAACCTGGTACATCTTGCGTAGCTTCAGACCCCATTTCTCATTCTGCTCGAAGGCTGCAGTAATCGCTTCTCCATCGAATGTCTCGATACCGTTCCTCCAGATAACCGACTGCATGATTATTATTAGTAGTTATCTTGATAAATTGTGAGGACTGGTCACCCACCTCATATTCAGTATCACCAATCATGAGTTCGTCCACCAGCTCGGACTTGGTTTCCCATCCTTGAAAGTCCTCATCCTCCTGTATCCACATAGTGTTCACATTGCACTCTCGTAATGCCTGCAACAGAGCCGGCACTGACGCTAACCGAAGCGACGGCTCGCCCAGTTCTTGCACCTTGGCTTCCAGCGCATTGATTAGTCCCTGGCCCTTCTCTACTGGCAAGGGAGAAGAGAGATAGAGGGATCCAGATGCCAGGACGGCCCTCTTGACTGGTGTACCAGTGACGAGATGGGCATGTGTATATACTGCCCCGGCACTTTCTCCGGCCAACGTGATGTTATTCTGTAAAAAGGCTGGTTAGATTTAGTAGGTAAATAACCGCAGGAGATAGTACATACGGGATCGCCTCCAAAGGCAGCGATGTTGTTCCGCACCCACTCAATACCCAGTTTCTGATCCTTGATAGCAAGGTTCTTCTCCTTGCCGTCGCCAAAGCTGAAGATGTTGAGTCGATAGTTGATTGAGACGAAGATGATAGGCTGGCCGGACTTGATAGAGTCCGCGACGATCTTGACGGGATCTATTGATACTGTTGTCAGTCTCCAAGGACGATATTCCCTTGGCCTAACTTACCGCAGATCTTCGATGCAGCTGAGCAAAAGGTCACCACCTGCGATCCTCCTGTATGACATGATTAGCCATTGGTCCATAGACAGTATAAATTGAAGGTATGCCCATGACATACCATAAATCCACAAGAGCACAGGAAGAGGTCCCTTAGCCGAAGACGCCGGAGGACAGGTGATGTCCAAATTCAGACATTCAAACTCATCCTCGGGCTCCTTTTCGATTGGAAAGTCCTCTGGAATGCGCAGCAAATGGCGAACGTCGACATCGACCTGCGGACACCTCGGCCTAAGCAGGATCAAATCCAAATCAGCACTTATCCATGCTGCCAGCATTGCACGATTGCAAACAGTACCCGTATGAAGAAGCATCAACCACAGCATCCCCAAAGCCATCCACGGGCTGCGCCCGCTCAAACCGCGCGGGAACAGACGCGTACTTGATACCCCTAAACTCATTCACCGTGACCCCCTCGGACACCCTCTCAATCCCCGTAAAAATGGCACGAAGGCCCTCATGCTGTATCTGCGGAGATGCCATATTTTTTTTCCAAATATCGTCACAGTATGCTACACTCGAAGAGTAAGTCTGACTGAGACGAAAGCCATAAACGGTCCAGCCGGAAAGACAAGCGGGGATGGTGCCACCGGCCTGCCATTCTCTCTATGACGAAGCATCCTAGCTCTGCTTCGTCTTCGTCAATGATTTCTCAGCATCCTCTCTTCTGATCCGGCTCATAATTTCCCAGGAAATGCCGATATCCGAGCTGGCTGGCTGGTTAACTGGCTGGATTGAGGGCAACTTGGCCTGGCCGCCCCCCTCCGTCATGATGTGGGGCTGTTGCGGGGAGATCCACCCGCTGCACAAAGTTGGGTCTTTCTTCTTTGGGTCTTTGGGTCGATCGCCTCAGTTTGGTTTGGTTCCTGGCCAGCTCGGTTGGGAGGCACGGAGGCGGGATCAGTTTTCTTGCCCGTTTCTGTGAGGGTCATTGGACTGGAACTTACTAATTGACGGTTGAAGCGAGGTTGTCTTTCCACTCACAACAACAACAACTTACGAAAGTTGTCCATCCTTCACGTCAGTCAGTACAGTCCTCGATATGCTTGAATCCAATAAAGAGACATGTCAATTTTATGTCTATTGAGATGAGAATTCTATTACCAGACATTATGTACTATATACACCATTATATGTCATGATCCGTCTAATCCCGTTCAATCCCCCCCCCCCCCCTTTTTTTTTTTTTTCTCCCTTCTTCTTGATCAATCACTCAACCGATGCAGCCGTTTCACTTCTCCTCTTCCTAAACAGAAACCCACCCAGGAACAACAAAATAGGCACACCGGATACCCCAGTCAGCAAGGCCAAAGCCCACGTCATGGTCTTCCAGCCCGCACTTTGCCGGATAAACCCCGCAAAAAACGGGCCGACAATGGTTCCAGCAGCATATGCCGAGTTGAGGATTCCATAAGACAAGGCCATGGCGCCACCCTTACCAAAGATATTAGGGTCCTGTGCCTCCTTTTCCTCCACAATATAGGACGCCTCAACCAACAGAGGAGGCATCAGCGAGGCTATGCAAAAGCCAATAAGGACCAGCAATGCACATAACAACACCTTCTGGCCCATGGAGTCGTGCGTCACAAGACGGAGCAGCACCATGAATGGAATGGTTGAAAATAGTGCTCCTGCCGCCATGTAGCGTCTTGCGTTCACAAACTTGTCGTTGATCCAGCCGAAGAACGGATCGGAAATATGAGGAACGGACAAAGGCACAAAAATGAGCCCTTGGCCTGTCTGATCCCAGCCGAAGGTGTCCTCGACAAAGAGAGGAAGGACGCTGTCGAATGAGGTCAGGACCACGGAGACGATGAAGTAAGCCCAGATGGTGACTATCATGCGTTCTGAAGCGAGAAGAGTAATGACAGCGCTTCTACTCTTCTTGGGAGTTGCATGTTCAGAGGATTCAGCAGACTGCTGGTCAACTGAAACCGGGCCCTCCGACTTACTATCAGATGCAACAGCGGGCGACCGATCAGTAGCATCTTCCACATCAGAGCATTTCTCCGTGGTTTCCGACGGCGAAATATCCGGACTCTGTTTCTTTTCTTGCTGCAACCACTTCACGGCATGCTTCTTCTCGATCATGACCAGCCGCAAAACAATATCCACGCCAACAAGAGCAAATGCCAGCGCAAAAACGGCATAGTATCCGCCACGGGCGTAGATGACGCCACCTAGAAGTGGCCCACCCATGATTCCAAAGGTCATACCCATGCCGATATAACCCATCGCCTGCCCAAGGCCCTCTTTTCCAACCGTGTCAACGAGCAACGCGGCCCCAACCGTCCATACAACCGCTGCAGATGCTCCCTGGAAGAGACGGCCAATGATCCAGAGACTAAGGTGAGTCCCTACGCAGAGTAGAGCTGTGGAAGCGCCCAGTGCCAGCAATCCGACTATGAGTGGCCACCATCGTGATTCAAAGCGGTCGGCAATGTAACCCGCAACGGCTGGAGAACATAGTTTCAGCAAGGACATTCGTTATAATAAGGTGGTCAGAGCGATACTTACGCGATGCTGCTAACAGCGCTGCGCCATACAATGCTAACAATATCGACGTCCATGATTGTTCTACCCCATGTTATAGTCAGCATCAACTCACTATCTATATAGAGAAAAGAAGTCAGAAATGATCAACTCACCTTGATCAACAGACATCCCAACCCTCTCATGTAAAGCGGTAGGAGCCACAGGGACAATCTACGATAGAGTTATATGTCAGCAAGATGAAGAACCCATTTATAACAAATCCACCGGTACACTCAAGCCACGTACCAATCCATAGAGTAGAACATCCTATTCAACATATGGTAGTTAGTAAGTGTAGCTAGAAACGGATCAGGGGTCCGAGCTAAGCTAAGCCAAGCATACCGTGAAGACAGCGAAAACCACCACGAAGATAATAAAAGCATTAGATGACCTCCACTTTAAAAAGACCGGCGGCTTGGTGTCATTCTGCCCTGGTACTAATCCACGCAGATTCCAGGTCATGTTATAAGGCTGTATGTACTAGTGTTTGAATGGGACTGGGTCGGTCCGCAACATCGGGAACTTGCTTTCGGCGGGGGTGTGAAATCTAAACAGAATAGTTTTGTGTAATGCAGATCAGAACGATTACTTAATACCAGGTAGTAGCTAATTGGGATTTACTCTTTGCCAGGAATGAAGGTCTAGTTATACGTGAATGAGGAGTGGCCGATCAGGTCAAAACTTGTTGTTCTGCGATCGGCTCGGCACCCGCGGGCCCCGAGCCAAGCCTTATCTATGGGTCACAGGAGTGTCCGCGGGACGGAACGACATGTCTACAAGATAATCACGGAGATGAGTGGCGGAATGCTGCTGATTTCGAAATATAGAAGTCATATTGGTTGACCAATTGTTAAGTTGCATATCGATGTTCGTGACTCATGGCACAATGCTGCCTCATGGGGGCCACTGCAGGTTTCATAATCGCCACCGTCTTCTTCAAAGCTTGTACATCTCGCTGCGACTGCGTACCCCGTCAAAAATGCAAGTATTATCCAAGGGCACGTACTGCCTAGTAATTACTTTGAGCGCCTCCTGTGCGACTAGTCCTCCGGTGAGCGAGGAGATGTTGTGCAGTTCTCCGCCTTGCGTCCTCCGTAACTCCTGGGCTGCTTGTTGAATTCGTTCCCTTGCATCTTCCTCCTCGATGGCGGATGGATCTTCCGATTTAAGCGCACCAAGGATGCGATCGATTGCAGAGTCCCACGCCTGTTCATCATCCAAGGCCTCTTCTGACTTCTTGCCCGCTTGGATGTCGGTTATTATGTCATCCAGGACCTGGAATGCAAGGAAAGTCGGCACGAGGGAGTCTGGAATATTGATGTTGTTCCGAATGGCCTTCAAGATAGATGCTTCCCCATCCACTATTGGAATATCTCGGCCATGGATAACCTTAATGTGAGCCGCATTCTTGCAGAAGACCTCGATATCCTTGTCCGAGGCTGGGGCCGGGCGTGGTCCAAGCTGTGCTTCAAGGCTACGGACAATCTTGGTAACTTCTTCTATGTCCTTGCGAGCCTTTGACTTGTAGATATTCTGAAGAGAAACATAATCGGCTGATTGAGCCTTCATGTCTGGTAGAGAGCCCGGCAGAGGAAGTACACTGTGCCTCTGGTAGTATTCACGGATGGCCGCCGCGATAATCCAGAAGTTGGCCGAATCTGGCGCCGGGTGCTTGCATTCTTCCATCTCGAAGATCTCGCGAAGGGAACTGCGCAAGCTGAATGGGTTCAAGGACTTTAGAACTGCAGCAACAGCCTCATCATAGTTCTCCTCTCCACCTTCGGGGTTACTTGTTCTTGCACTAGACCGCACCATTTCCCTGAACTCAGATTTCTCCTTGTAGTTCGATGGGACCTGGCCACTGTGCGCTTCTTTCCACTGCTCTAGATGATGGAGAAGAAGCAGAATGTACGGGACATGGCCATGCTGGTGATCGTCCAGGCTGTCCAGGTTGCGAATGCTAGCACCGGCCGCCGCCAACTCAGGCCACGGGTTTAGGAGACGGAGATCCTGTGTGCTTTCAGGATCTGGATGTGTCTCTACTATAGGAAATGCAGCCGGGAGCTGGAGAGAAAAGGTCGAATAGAATCCAACCGAGCGTGTGTAAATTACTGGAATGCCGAATGCTTTAGCAGCCTTGCAAATGGCCTCCAAAGAGGGGCGTTTTACCGGTCCAGATACCAAGACCAGCTTGTGCTGCGGAAGAAAGTCTGGCTCCTTCAACAGTTCTGTGATTGACTTGTGCTCAGTCTTCGTTAGCTCTGAAACTTCATAGAGCAACTTGAGGTTAATTGAAGTTACCTTAGTATAGAAGCTCCCATCTACGTCCGGGTTTAATTCTCGTAGCAATCGACAGGTCTCCTCAGCTCGGGACTTCCCCAAGCTTTCTTCTTCCAAGAAGAAGTTGACCCCGAGATCCGGCTCGGTGACAAGTGCAGGGTCCACAATCGTGAAGCCTCCAATTCCGGGAAGTACAAGGTTCTTGAGCGTTTCCACGCCGACTACACCGGATACACCCGTGTTATGCTTGCCCCAGGGTTCGTCGGAGTTGACCAGAAGCACGCGGGACTCTTCTAGAGCTTGCTGCCCACTTGCTGCCCACAAGCGCAATTGGCGATCATATTTCCTCTCTTTCGAGGATGGTCCAACCAAAGCACTCGGGAAGGCCTCTGCCATGAGGGGCTAAAGCGGAGAAGAGACGGAGATAGACAAAACCAAGTGGGATGAGAAGTGGGGAGTCAACGAACTGAAAGAATCTTCCAGTGACAATCCCTGTCTGCCACTAAGGGAAGCAGCACGAGCGCAAATACCCGGATGGACTGATGACTTGTTGAAAGTACTGATATTCCGGTCAAGTAAGAGCGTTGGAATCCATATGTTGGCTGCAGTCACATGATCGATGTGATGCACGGGCCCACCCGAGCTGTTGATGGCCTTAGTGCCTGTATGCCTGAGGCTGCACATGGTATGACGACACAACCCCGCCGGAGGAAAACGCGCAGAACAACAATCAGTCACCCGGAATCATCGCCGAAGGTTGCATTTATCGACCGAATCTAGACGGATAGTATAAGCTGTCAAGATCCCAATTGCTATGCCATGAGATTTGCACTTCCGCGTGGCTGTCTGTCCTCCCCGTAAGTGGTCCAATTCGTTTGCTGGAAACTTTCTTGGGCCTCTCGCATCTCCCCCCACCACGGGCATCCACTACATTTGACGGTTCCTCCCCGAATTTGCAGGGGCTCGATTCGAGGGTTTCTCTCCCCCGGAGTGGTCCGCCTACTGATCTAACAACAGACCCCGGCTCGGCAGTTTCCCCTCATCCTCTATTTATTCTCGTATTCGTCTCTGCTTACGACCAGATCGGTTGTCTACTCCCGTTGTGCCCCTCTTCTCCGTTTCCAGCGCTACCTTTCGTCGTCATTCCACCATGGCGAGCGTCGTCGAAGCCGCAAAGCGCGCAGCCGGTAAGGCTGCCGTCGAAAACCACTACCCCAAGGACGCCAAATACGTCGGCATTGGCAGTGGTTCGACCATTGTCTATGTGGTCGAGGCCATTAAGGAGTCCGGAGTAGACACCTCCGCCACCAAATACGTCCCCACTGGCTTCCAGTCCAAGCAGCTGATTGTCAACGCTGGTCTGACCGCGGTGGACTTCGATGCCCTCCCCGAAGGCACGGTTCTGGATGTTGCCTTCGATGGTGCCGACGAGGTCGACGACGAGCTGAACCTGATTAAGGGTGGTGGTGCTTGTCTCTTCCAGGAGAAGATCGTGGCTCTTCAGGCCAAGGAGTTCATTTGTGTGGCTGGTGCGTATATTTTACGCTGAGCGATAGTGTCTGGCACTTCCTATAGAGGGCATGCGCACTAACCCCCCCGATTGATAGACTCCCGCAAGCTCCAGTCCCGCCTCCTCACGGGCTGGAAGTACATTCCCATCGAAGTCGCTCCTATTGCGGCCCGTCGCGTTCTCGGTGCTCTGAAAGAGATTGGCAGCATTGATCCCGCTGTCCGCGTCAACTCTGATGCCAAGCAAGGCCCATTGAAGACCGACCAGGCCTTCTTCATTATCGACGCTCCCTTCAAGACTCTGCTGACCCAGGCAGACGTGGCTGCCGGAAAGGACGGCAGTGGCAAGGACGGCGTGTGGGAGGTTCACGCCCTCTCTCAGGCGATCAAGCAGATTCCCGGTGTTCTCGACGTGGGTATCTTCTCTGGCATGACCGGCCCTCAGGCGCAGGCGCTCGGTGGTGTCGGAGGCCAGAAGCCTATTGCTGCCTACTTCGGTATGCCTGACGGTTCGGTGTCCGTCAGAAAGGCAGCTGCTTAATTGGGGCTGCTCCCTAACGCCATATACGATATGTCAAGAGACTAGAAGAAAAAGTACAAGTACAATGATACCATGTAGACTGTTAGCACGAATCGGACTATTTTACGCTTTCTATAACCTGGTGCCTCGTAACTGTGATATCAAGAACCAAAAGTAAGAACAAGAACACCAGTCTCCGCACGCCGGTCATCAAGACAAAGTAAGTTAGTTTCATAAGGCGACAATATGCTCAACCTTATTTGGCGCCCTTCCCCTTCGCCTCCGTCTCTCCAAGCTCACGTACAAAGATCTTAACCGTCCCTTCGACAACATCATCTTTTCCATCCTCGAAACCCGGACTAATCGCGATCGCCAGGTACTTTCCGTTACCGCTAAAGTCCACGGCAGCCACACTCGACGGATACTTCTGATACTGTCTGATTCTCCTCTTCGCAATACCGTCCCAAAGCGCAACCACTCCATCACCACCGCCCGACGCAAACGTACCGTGGACCGGGTGGAACGCAAGCGCATTGACAGGGTAAACGACGTCGACATCATCCGCCGTCTGTCTGTGACACTTGAAGGCATATTTGCGGGCCTGCGACTCAGCAGACGGATCGAACCATTCGACCGCGACACGGCCCTCGATACTGGACGACGCGTAGCCTGCATCGTCGGGCATGCATGCCACTGAGCGAGTCATGAACTTCAAGCTGCTCTCCCTTCGCTGCCAGGGTTCGATTTCAATTTTGTTGGGGGCCGTACCCTCCGACTGAGCGGTGAGCATAGCCAATGCTTTCAAATCGTAGATGTGTAGGGCGCGGGAAGCCATTGCGACAACGAGCTTCGTAGCGGTAAGAGACATGGAGAAGGGCTTCGAGGGGAGGGGAATAATAGCGGGGGCTGTGGCGGGATCGTTCGTCGGGTGCACATGCAACGTAGAGTCCCAAGAGGCGGATATTACTAGGTCGTGTTCTTTGCTGAAAACGACGCTTCGAACGCCGGCTTCATGGCTGCTAAGGACGGTCTGGGTGGATGATGCTACATCAATTCTGTTTATTGTCAGCAGGAGATAGGTTGGATTTGCGCCGGTTGCTACCGAAGCCCAAGCAGAACAGACATGGACTCACTTCTTGACGTCCCAATCCAAACCAGCCGTGTAGATCTCATCCTCGGTTGCGCCGAAACACACATCCAACACCGGAGCGCGATGCTCAAACTTCTGTAACAGCTTGCCTTCTCCGACGGCACCATTCTCATCGCGCAAGTCGTACAGATACACGTTCTTATCCCAGGAAGAAACAACGATTCGCGTGGAGTCGGGGTCGGGCGAGAACTTCAAGGCGGAGATAGCATCCGTCGGCGGGGATGCGACAGAGAATTGATCTAATACTTGTCAGTGGAAGAGGATTGCCACTGAAACAATTCGCGACTTACTTGACGCCATGATTTCTTGCTTGAACCTTCAATGAGTTCAATTGTATATCGTTGTTGATCGGCCCGTCGTCATGGAAGCTTCACCTTCAGACCATTTTCTGCCAGGTGCCACCGCCCTGGAATATTCTCCCCGCCATCATCATTGATTGATTGCATTGACGTCGGACATTCTCTGGATCGAACACATTCTTGTGCGCAGATCTTCATCATGCCGTTCGCGCAACTCGTCATAGGGCCCCCGGGCGCCGGGAAGTCAACCTACTGCAATGGCATGCACCAGTTCCTTGGAGCTATTGGTCGCAAATGCTCCATTGTGAATCTGGACCCCGCAAATGATAAAACATCCTATCCGTGTGCGCTGGACGTTCGCGACCTTGTCACGTTAGAGGAGATTATGAGTGAGGACCTGTTGGGACCTAACGGGGGTATTTTGTATGCGCTGGAAGAATTAGAGGAGAACTTTGACTGGCTTGAAGAGGGGCTGAAGGATCTCGGAGGTATGCGCATTCTGCCGTCAGAAGATGTTACGGGATCAAACGCTAATGCATATTCTATGTGATAGAGGACTACGTCCTGTTTGATTGCCCTGGCCAAGTTGAACTATTCACACACCACTCGTCCCTACGAAACATATTCTTCAAATTGCAGAAGATGGGCTACAGAGTATGTCCTACCCGTCCCATCCGGAGTACCATGCTATGCGATACTAACAAACGAACGATGCGCAGCTAATCGTGATCCATCTCATTGACTCCTACAACCTCACACTACCATCGATGTACATCTCCGCCCTTCTCCTCTCCCTCCGCGCCATGCTCCAAATGGACCTACCTCACCTGAACGTCCTCACCAAGATCGACAATCTATCGAACTATTCCCCATTGCCCTTCAACCTTGATTACTATACAGAAGTCCAAGACCTCAGCTACCTTCTCCCGCACCTTGAAGCCGAGTCATCACGGCTATCACATGAGAAGTTCGGACCGCTCAATAACGCGATCATCGACCTAGTGGAGGAATTCGGACTAGTGAGCTTCGAGACGCTAGCCGTGGAGGACAAAAAGAGCATGATGAATTTACTGCACGTCATCGACCGCGCTAGCGGTTATGTGTTCGGACCCGCCGAGGGTGCCAACGACTCCATCTGGCAGGTTGCTGTCCGAGAAGGCCTGGGACAGATGGACATCCGGGACGTGCAAGAGCGGTGGCTGGACGCGAAAGACACGTACGATGAGCACGAGCTTAAGCAGCTAGAGGAAGAAGCGAAAGCCGCCGAAAAGACAGCCGAAGACGCATCAGCACAGAAACCCAATATGGACTTCGATGATGACGAATACGACGATCTGGGGAGGGGGTCGATACCAGATGGTGGTGTGAAGGTTATACGAAAATCATGACACATGACATGGAATCTATCTCAGCATCTATATTCTATTCACGCATACATACACACACTGTATAATATAGGGTATCTCTAATGAAAACGATCAGCAAGACAAAACTCCCAGCACCCAAACCTATGCCTTCCAACATATCAAACGTAAATCCCGTTCGTACTCAATCACTCATCATCCTCACTCTCCATCATCACATCCCCAACCACATCCTCCCCAGTAACCGGCGTACTCTCCTCCCCAGCCACATCCACTAACCCCCCCAACAACCCCTCCAAAACCCCACTCTCCTCCGCCTCCCTCAACCGCACAATCTCCCTCCTCGCCCTGCGAATCGCCTCCTCCTCCGCCTTCCGCATCGTCCCGGACACCCTAATGACCCGAAACACGCAAGCTCTCGTCGTCCTCTTCGACCCACCCTCACTAAAACCGGGAACCTGAGACATGCAGGTCAGCGCCGTCCACACAAGCCGGAACGACGCGCGAGGACACCGAATAATAGCCGTTGAGGTAGCAGGGGAGAGGTATTTCACTGGACATTCATCAAACAAGTAATTAGTCTCATTATCACAACCCAACAGGCACAAAACCCAATTCAAAGAGGAATAGAGGGAGAGGGAAAAGGAAAACATACCACTAATACCCCCCGCGCCTGCACCACCCAATCTACCGACGCCGTAATCGCCAAACATGAGTGAGACTTCCTCTCTGACCATTTTCGCTAGCAGGCCCGGTGTTAGGGCATCGGATGTGGGCGAATGGATTTGTAGCTGTGCTTGCGACTTTGATTTGGATTGAGGGTTCTTGTTGGTGCGGGAGGTGGCTGGGGGCCATGTTGAGGGATCGGGGTAGAGGATGTCGAGGAGGATGTAGCGGTGTTTTAGGCGGACCATCGTTTAGTATTTCAATAGTATTTGAAGGAGGGTTTGAGGTGATTGTAGTGTAGTGGTGGTAGATTGGTTGAATGAGTGTGCTTGGAGGTAATTTGGGGTATGAGTTCGGGTGATGATATTGTTGCGCGCGACCTCTGGTCGAATGCGCGTGTGGTTTTATCGGCGATGTGGTGATTGAATGGTTCGGAATTTTGAGATCGATTGAATATTGTTGGAGAGCTGGAGGATAGCAGTTCTATTAAGCAGATCGGCGCGGGCAGAGGCCCGTTTTTCTGCCGCATGTGGGCCTGCGCTTGCATCTACCGCCTACTTGGATGAAGAGACATACTTTGACAACCGCAGATCAACTAATCATCCATACAACAGTCAAAGACAGCAACTACATCTACGTTAATCTACAAGTTTATAATGGATGCACATTTCTTTAATCGTTGCGTGATATTCATCAACCTTTAACAGCGAGTCATGCCACATGTGCCACTACAGATTGTAAGTTGAAATAGATGAGATATGAAGCGAACCAAGCCGATGCAGAAAGAAATATGGGTGAAAAGAAAACAGGCCATCACAACTCCGACGTCAACAATGACGGATTTTATGACTAATCCATGAGATGTAAGTGTATTAAGGGAGACAAGTAAAAAATTAGACGCTGACCTCGACACGACCCTCGGAGCCACCCTTCTGGAGGGCGGGGAGAAGGTAGGTGATGTCATCCCAGGGGTGTCTGTACAGACCAGTGCGGAGTCTCTTCTGGTCGAGGTAGTGGGCAATGAGACCAATGGAACGACCAAGGACGAAGAGACCGTTGAGGACACCCATCTTCATGTAGTCCTCAACCTCCTCGGAAGAGAAGGCACCGCAGTTGCGCATCAGGTCAACGAAGCAGACGGCAACACAACCGTCGACGTTGAGGATGAGGTTGTCCTTCTTGGAGGTGGTCACAGTCTCGACAGCAATGGCATAGTCGAGCAGCTTGGTGCTGGGGAAGTGCTTCTTGGCGAACTCCTTGACGAGCTCGACACGGAGATCGGGGTTGTTGCGGGACTTGACACGGTGACCAATACCGGGGACTGTGCATAGTCAGTTAAAGCTGTTCAACTTTTCAGGTACAATGACGGTTCACTTACTCAGCTTGTTCTCCTTGCGCATGGTGTCAACGAAGTCACGGGGGCTCATGCCCTTGTCGAAGGCCTTGGTGAACTCCTCAGCAGCGCCATCCAGGGCACCACCGAAACGAGAACCGATGGTCAGGAGACCAGAGACGAGAGCGCTGATCAAGTCCTTGCCGGCACGGGTGGTGATGATGGTGTTCATGGCACCAGACACGGCAGGACCGTGGTCAGCAGTAAGCATGAGAACCATCTCCAGGAACTTGCTGGCGTAGGCAGGGAGGCGGCGGCGGAACCACAGCAGAGACATGACACCACCGATACCAATGTCCTCACGGAAGACATCAGAGATGGGCATACCGGCGTAGAGAAGCTCCTGGCCACGGTCGTCGGAGATGGTAGAGATGAAAGCAGCGGGCTTACGGACGAGACCCAGCTCCTGAGCCCAGGAGTAGTCGATGGGGATCTTAGGGACGACAGGCTCAGGCTGGGGCTTGACGATACCCTTCTTGACCTGGTCGTCGTAGACCTCCTTGAGGGTCTGGGGAAGGTCCTCAAAGGTCTCGGGAACGAAGATACCGGCCTCACGCATGGCCTTGTTCTTGGCAACAGCGGTCTCGAGATCGGAGTTGGCAGAGGCACCAGCGTGACCGAACTGAACCTCAGTCTTGAACATGCTAGCGCAGGTACCGATGGCCCAGGCGACGATGGGCTTGGTGATGGTGCCGTTCTTGACGGCCTCGATGACGCGGTACTCCTCAACACCACCGACCTCACCCAGCAGAACCAGGATCTTGCACTCGGGCTCAGCCTGGTAGCGGAGCAGGTGGTCGATGAAGGTGGTGCCGGGGTAACGGTCACCACCAATGGCAACACCCTCGTAGACACCGTCGGTGGTCTGAGAGATGATGTTGTTGAGTTCGTTGGACATACCACCGGACTTGGAGACGTAACCGACGGAACCCTTGCGGTAGAGCTTGGAGGCAACAATGTTGTCCATCATACCACCAGTGTTACCAATCTTGAAGGCACCGGGCTTGATACCACCAACGGTAGCAGGTCCGATGATGGTGATGCCCTTCTCCTTGGCCTTGACCATGATCTCACGTGCGCGCTGTTCTGCTGTTAGCGGAGAGCAGCATGGTGTGTCTCAGAAGCAGAACTTACTCTCTCGGGGACACCCTCAGCAATGATGGCAATGGAACGGATCTGGGGGCACTCCATCAGCTCCATGGTGGAGCTGTAGACGGAACGGGAAGAGGCGAAGTTGACAACGGTGTCAACGTCGGGGTGCTTGGCCATGGCCTTGGAGACGTCCTGGTAGACGGGGAGGAGAGTCTCGCTGGTACCCCAGTACCTATAATTGTATCAGTATCTCAATTCAAGAGATGGGGTCTGGTTGGCCATACATCTTGCTCACGAACTGACCACCGAAGGTGTAGATGATACCGGCGACGGAGGGAGTGGAACGCTTGCAGATGAAGTCGAAGTCAAGCATACCCTGGACAGCCCGGGGCTGCATACCACTGTGACAGATTGTCAGCCAGAGCAATTGAGCACGGCTATAGGCCGCCACTTACTATACGAAGCATCTCGTCTTGTTGTGGAAGAGGGCGTTGCTGAGAGGAGAGCGCACACGGCTGGGGGGGTCGAAGCGGGTGATGTTGTCGTTGGCGGAGGCGCCATTGGCGGTGTTGACGAGGGGAGCAGAGGTAGGCATGTTGGCTGAATACTCTGTGAATCGAGCAAGATGTCAGTGTCAAGAGATCAAGAAGGTTCTCATAAAGCGGGTGCTGTGTGGGAAGAATCCGTGGGAGGGGAAATGTATCCGCCGTGGTAGCAATATACTATCGGACAGCACACATACCTGTCAACAGAGTTGGGAATAGGAGAAAGGATTAAAGGAGGATATTATTAGATAGTAAGGGAGATAATAGATAGGTGAGGAAGTGACAAGCCGCTTCGTAAGACTGCGACCTGAACACAAAGGAAGTTGGAAGTGGTTTAGGATGGTAAGAGGAACAAGAGGGAGAAGAGAAGAGGAAGGGAGCTGGAAGAGCGAGGCAACCAGATGGAGAAATGAGAAAATTGGAGGAAGGAGGAGTGAGGAGGAGAGAGAAGTGGACTGATGGGAAAAAGACGGGAGATGAGAGAAAAACAAGATGTAAGATAAAAAGAAAATGGAACGGACAAAAAAAAAAGTAGCTAAAGGAGGGGACGATATCGGGAAGCTTGATGGGGGGGTAGAAAAATTATGGGGCCAAGTGAGGAAAGAGCAGGTACATACACAGCTGGTATGGGCGTATGAATGGGGTTCGTATCGATCGTACCATACAGTATCAATGATCCTGGCGCAGGCAACTCCTGGTCCGAAACAACCCAGTTGGGGAATCACCACAAGGATGGATCAACTTCGCTAGAATAGATAGTAGCTATGGGGACGTTTCAGTCGATGGGACTAGTGGCGCGCAACCCGAAATGACATTGCGCAGTCAGAAGCCGATTCTCGTCTATTGTCTTGAGATGGGGAGGAAGATATTGATCCTTACGGAGGCCGGAGTCCGGAGTATAGTATGCTCACAAGATTCCAACGCCCAACAAACTCCGTGGGAGGGGGAGGGAATTGGGATTGATTGATCGATTGACCGATCACTACTGTATCTACTAGGAGAAAGTAAGAGAAGTGTTTACAAACTTGGTGATTGTTGTCCGCCGGGTCGGTTAATCGGAGGACTCCGTTGGCTGCCAAAGAGGTTGCAGGCAAGTATCGGAGCATGCAGAATTGCCTTGAATAAGATTAGTATAGGTTAAAAACCGAAATAGACCGTCTGAGAGACACCGAGACCACGGTTCTCCGTATTACGGGGGCAAGGGCATTCTGATTGATACTGCGTACAAATCGAACCGGGAGGTGGTCCTGGTGGTCCTGGTGGTCTGGTTGGGGCTAAAGCGGGTGGATCCTACATCCGTCTGCTGGATCAGCAAACTGGAGGTCCCAATTGCGGCCAGGGACTGGGCCGATGCGTATGCACGAGGCCCCGTAACTCCCAGGAGGTTTTCTTTCCCTTTCGCTGGCCGCTCACCGAAAGATCAAACGGCGGTATACTACTTGAAAGTATGCTTCTGGAATCATACGGGCACCTACCCAAGTAGGTATATCGCCCATCCACAATCTGAATAAGGGAATCTGTGGTATGTACCTTAGGTTTAGGCTTCCAGCATATTGTAGATAGAGTAGTGTGCGCTGCCATGTTACCATCCATCTCTATACTACATGCAAAGATGTTATACTACTACTACAGTCGTAGATTACACGCAGGGGTACCTGAATCCAGAACCATCCAGGACTATTTGGTGGGAAGAATTGTGGTCAATTCCCGTAAAGTATGGGGAAGTGAGCCGGGGAAGTACAACCAACCCATTACATCATCGGGCAGGACACGTTATCTAGTTCAAATGTGATCAGACATGTTGTCCAGCTAACACATCCGCCACTATCACTGCATTATTGGAGGTTGTCCATTCGAACAGGGGGGTGATTGGTGATGGTGGTGTCGTCAACAAAACGAAGAGCGTAAAGCAAGTACCCAACAAAAAAAAGGACGCAAGAATAGGCGGCCATTCTGGTGATGGTAGGGGGCTTCAGTATTGAGGCTACAGCGTAGGGCAGATACTGCGAGTCAAATACTCACGAGAATGGCTTCCGAGGATCCCCAACGCCGCCAATCCCGGCTGACAGGATGGGTCTTGGGCCGACCCGCTTTTTCTTACGGCGGCTCCACCGAATCTCAACAAAGTCCGCTGGCTGCAGCATCGCAAGCCGCTAAGCCCCTTGTATTGCCCGAGCTCGGCCCTGATCGTGCTCTGTATCATGTCGTTTTGGCGGTTTTTACTGTGGCTTCAGTTGATCATTCCATCCATCCTCCTCCATCTTCGGACCCCAAAAATTCTGCTTCGTCGAAACTTCTCCTCCCCTCCCCCCCCCTCTTTCCCTTCTAGTTCCTCCTTTCGCCGGCCGTCACTTATCATCACCGACTAATCGGCGCTCTTCTCTTGCAATACTCCGTTTAGGTTCTTTTTTTCCTTCCCGCTTTGTTTCTTCTTTTCCTCTTCGTCCTCCCCTCCTTCCCCCCCTCTTACTCTACTCTCACTCTCCATTTTATTCCTGCTCCTCCTTTTGGTTGGTGATTTCTTCCAGACCTCCCAAAAAAAAATCAAGACCACTATTTTCCAATTCCTTTCTCCTTCTCCCTCTTTCTCTCTATCTCCCTCTACATACATCTTCCTCTAGGTATACCTCTCACCCATTCCGGGGTTCACTTCCCACTTTCAAAAACCATTGCTCTGCAGCTTCTTACACGTCTGTCTAGTATAATCATACCTCTCCTCTTTCACCTATACGATCATCATGTCCGCCAAGTCGATTCTCGAAGCTGATGGCAAGGCCATCCTCAACTACCACCTCACTCGTGCGCCCGTTATCAAGCCTACCCCCCTCCCTCCGTCCTCCACGCACAACCCTCCTCCTAAGCTCGCCTCCCTTTACTTCCCCGAAGATGTTGCCGTCAAGGATGTCCTCGATCAGGCTGAGGTCCGCTACCCTTGGCTGTTGACTCCCGGTTCCAAGTTCGTGGCCAAGCCCGACCAATTGATCAAGAGACGTGGAAAGAGTGGCCTGTTGGCCCTGAACAAGACCTGGGCCGAGGCCAGGGAATGGATTGAGGCCCGTGCTGCCAAGGACGTCCAGGTTGAGACGGTCACCGGCGTTCTCCGTCAGTTCCTGGTTGAGCCCTTCGTTCCTCACCCCCAGGAGACCGAGTACTACATCAACATCCACTCCGTGCGTGAGGTAAGTTTTCTGTCTTTCTCCGCCGTCTGATCGGCGCCCTCCGTAGCTGCGGGGTATCAATGCTAATGTACCGCATTAGGGTGACTGGATCCTTTTCACCCACGAGGGTGGTGTCGACGTTGGTGATGTCGACGCCAAGGCTGAGAAGCTTCTCATCCCCGTCAACCTCGAGCAGTACCCCTCCAACGAGGAGATCGCTGCTGCTCTCCTGAGCAAGGTGCCCAAGGGTGTTCACAACGTCCTCGTTGACTTCATCTCCCGCCTCTACGCCGTCTACGTCGACTGCCAGTTCACCTACCTCGAGATCAACCCTCTGGTTGTCATCCCCAACGCTGATGCCACCTCGGCTGATGTTCACTTCCTCGATCTGGCTGCCAAGCTCGACCAGACTGCTGAGTTCGAGTGCGGTACCAAGTGGGCCATTGCTCGTAGCCCCGCCAACCTGGGTCTGCCCACCCTTCCCTCCAGCGACAAGGTCAACATTGACGCCGGTCCCCCGATGGAGTTCCCCGCTCCTTTCGGTCGTGAGCTGAGCAAGGAGGAGAAGTTCATCTCCGAGATGGATGCCAAGACTGGTGCTTCCCTCAAGCTCACCGTCCTCAACGCCAACGGCCGTGTCTGGACCCTCGTTGCTGGTGGTGGTGCCTCCGTCGTGTACGCTGACGCCATTGCCTCTGCTGGCTTCGTCAGCGAGCTCGCCAACTACGGTGAGTACTCCGGTGCTCCCACCGAGACCCAGACCTTCAACTACGCCCGTACCATCCTCGACCTGATGCTGCGCTCTCCCATCCACCCCGACGGCAAGGTCCTCTTCATCGGTGGTGGTATTGCCAACTTCACCAACGTTGCCTCCACCTTCAAGGGTGTCATCCGCGCTCTCCGTGAGGTTGCCCCCGTCCTGAACGAGCACAAGGTCCAGATCTGGGTTCGTCGTGCTGGTCCCAACTACCAGGAGGGTCTCAAGAACATCAAGGCTGTTGGTGAGGAGCTTGGCCTCAACATGCACGTCTACGGCCCTGAGATGCACGTCAGTGGTATCGTGCCTCTTGCCCTCCTCGGCAAGCAGACCGACATCAAGGAGTTCGGTTCCGCGTAAAAAAATGAAATAAAGGGCACGTTTCACTGAATTCTAATTAATTTAATTTCCTATGAGAATCTTTTTTTTACATTTCTTCTCAACTGCATGGCATGATATGGTTGTTTTACGCTATCTTGTTAACTTTTTTCTTTTATTGACGGTACAAACGGTTTGCCCAGCTTTACACTGCAGGGCAAGTGGAAGAGGGGATACTCGTTCTGGAGTTGATGCTGTTTAGACTTAAGATAGTCGTTAATAGAACGATATGATCTATGACTGTCACTGGAGCCATGTATCCAACAATCAACATACCACTATATCTATGTTATCAGCCATTTAGGACACTTGTATTTATCATGCGTCCGTATTCTTCAACGCCAGTTTGGCACACATACTCAAAACTCCAGACCGCACAACCCCTCTCTCATTCATCCACAAGTTATGGGAATTGAATTACCCTACCCACCTACCTCACACGTGGACTGCATACACAATATGACACATCACAACCGCACAACACCAACAACGGTGACCAACCAACTAGACAGCAGTTAAGGCACACACGCATATCCAGCACCACGTCCATTCATGCACACGCAGGTCCCAACCAAGGAACCAAGTCCACAACTACATATGTATGTATGTATGTACGTATAACATGTATGTATAATAAATACACAATACATACATACATACATACAAGTAAGTAAGACCGTAACAAAAGAAGTCCAAATAAACTACAAAACCGGTGCCACACCTAATCTCACGGAACTCTACCCCAGATCCACCAGGAGCTGCAAGGGAAAGGGACGGTAAGATCAAAAAGAAACTAAAAGATAAGATGAGCTTGATTCTCGCGTGGCAACACTAATTGGAAAAGGATTTTCCTAGCAGGGGGGGTGGAAGGGAGTGTGTGTGGTTTGTGTGTGTGGCTTCCGTACGTCCGAGACGGGACGCGGATGGATGGAACGGAGTAGTACTTAGTATAACGGATAGGTTTAGGTGGTGGTGGTGGACGGATAAGCTTACAGCCTATGAGATGGCATCGATTAGAACGGGACGGGCCTTTGCGTGATGGAGAATTTACTTACTTTGTACTTAGTTGAGGGGCCGAAGGGATTGGGGGTCTGGTTTTAGTTATTAATTTGTAGCTGGCTGTTGAAGGTGCTTTGATTAGATTGGATCTTATCAATTTCAATCGTTTCTTTTCTGTCTCTGTTTCGTTGTGTTGGGTTGGGTTGTTTACTATCAAGTACGTAACCGAGGTAGTAGGATGATATAGTACTATCCCTTGTTCGCGATGTAGAATTGAGGATGTTGGTTTAGGCGTCTACTATGCTTTAAGTATATTGTACTACTAGTAGTGAACCAGTTGACACATTTTCATGATCGTTAGAAGTGCAACGCAGTGTTTCGCGTCCATGATATTGTCGCGCTTGGTTGGTTCGCGTGTACGCGGGTAGTATATACATCCGCGCTTTGCCTGTCAGTTTATATATCGCTCCTACTACTAGTCCTGCCAGGACACCGCTAAGCCAAAGTATCATTAATCCCACGAAGTGACGAACAACTCCTGAAATTGCACAATAAGCAGTAAATTGTTAAAAGTTATACAAATTAAATAAATAGAAGAACTTACTACCTTAATGGCCTGTCCCATGTGAGCAGAATCAGTACCGCTTTATGCTGAATACTACATCGATTTCGACTAAGTCATTTATACAAATATTCGTACGCTGACTTCTATAATCTGGGCTGAGCGACACCAACTCATTTTAACTAGATCCAGGATAGTAGGCAAATAGTCGACAATTTACTAAGTTTGAGCTACCAATTCAACTTACAAGTTATTGTGGTACGTATCATTCCTACTAACTAGTACCCTTCAGCATCTCTGCTTAGATCCACCACTTCCATTTGATATGCGTTAGGCCTGTTTCCGCGACATGATACTAGTTTTGATAGAGTGCAAATCTCAGTACCAGGCGTTTATTTTGTATGGAATGTGGTGATATTGCTGATAAAGGTATGTTTAGAGAGTTGATGATGGTGATGGTGTTTTAGTAGTTTGTCTGATATTACTACATCTTCATACACATGTCACTGCCCTTACTGACATATTGCTAGTCTGTTGTGTTTTTGATGCAAAAAGCTAGTAAGTTCTATGAATTACCTGTAGCGGCCATACTCACGTCTTCTCAAGTGTCTTCGTTCCAGGTCGATAGTCTGATACGCCTATTCAGCTGGACCCGAGCTCGAGACACCACTTGTTCTCGGACAGATTTCGATTAGAGTGAACTCATTGATTATGATTCGGAAGGCAAGTCGAACGGCTACCCTCTAAGTTGGTAAATACTGGAACGTCTATGGTTTTTGGGACGCTATCGGTTATCGGTCTTGGACAGAACGGTAAGGTGCAGATGAATCTGCTCCAGCCGCTTATCGTAGAATAGATCAAGAAACATCAGAGAGGAGATTATCATATCTGATTACTTGCCCTCATCGCGCCAGACAATGTAGGACAGGATGATTGCTATATTTAAAAGTACATCGTGTGGTATGTAAACAGTCATTTCACGCTTTCGATAATAAATGCCAGACAAGACGTTAGCCCAAGACGATAAAGGAGGGACAAGATCCCTCCTGATACCTCTTCGGTGGTTCTTTTTTTGATTATGAGTTTTCCCCGAGTTGAATGGTTGAAGCTCATGATTTTGCGTAGGAGGTATAGTACAAGTAATTCGGCCTTAACCCGTGAACAGAAAGACAACGGAGCTGAATATCATTTCACTCGTCCAATTTACTCTTGGATCTTGGCAAGGATCCTGGTAGCATATGTTAGTATACGAGCTTTAATCAGAGCAACGTAGTGGCAAGGGTGTGCATACTCATGGTCGCGGAAAAGAGTGTACTCGTCCTCACCGACCTTGACGGCGCTGCCACCGAACTATATCAAAAGACCCGTTAGTAAATATATTCAATATTACCACATCAACCAGCGCGATGGACCAAATGCTTCGCTTCTCGCATCGGATGGCCACGGATCGGGCGGTGAACATACCTGAGGGATCAGGACACGGTCACCAGGAGCAACGCTCATGGGGAGGCGCTGGCCGTTCTTGTCGAAGACACCGGGGCCAACAGCGAGGACCTTGGCCTCGTTCTGCTCCTTGACGCTGCTCTCGGGGAGGAAGATACCGGAGGCGGTTTTGGCCTCGGGCTTGACACGCTGGACCAGGACGCGGTCCAGGAGGGGAGCAAGGCTCTTGACGTTACGGAGGAAAGACTAATTAAGCAATCAACACATTAGTAATGATCAGGGATAGTTTGATTAGCGATAAAGGATGGCAATTGCGGCAGAAGGGGATGGACGTTGATGGGTGAAAAAGTTGATTCGGAGCTCTAAAGCATGCGTTATCAAGTGCAATAACATACCATTGTGATAAAGGTGTGTGTAGAAGTGCCGGGCACGAGGAACAGCGTGAATTCAAGCAGGAGCGAGAGAGAATGAAAGCAAGTTGGGGACGTGGAGGGCAAAAGAAGAAGAGGAAGCGGCCGGGGAAAGAAGATCTGATCTGGACTCGCGAGAAATTTCCAGAATGCCAAGACCGACAGCTTCCATCCTCTCTGCCGAGGGTATCACCACTTCTTCGCTTTTCTTCCCTATCATTCTGATCACAGCGTGCTCTTTTTCAATGTACTTAGCTCGCTTGAACGTTACAGAAAAATATTGTTTCCTTTACAATATTGAGAGTACTTGGTCCTGATGTCTGATGATGAGCAACAATGACATTGCACTTGATTAGTAGCTCCCTTTCCCCGAGCAACCCGACCCCAGATCCGCACAAGAAGCTTAGCCTTCGGGAGTAATTCATTTATGGATAGGTTTACTACTGATTCTAGGACTTCGCTTGAATCACCAATGCTGAGCTTTCGACATGGTATTCGATATTATAACATGGTCACAGTTTCGGATCCACCTTAGCTTTACCACCTTCTCCCGCGACCCCGACCAAAGCCGCCCCCGTATCCCATCTGAGGCTGGCCACCACCTTGCCCACCAAATCCGGGTTGACCTTGTTGTCCGCCGCCTGCGCCGGGTTGTCCACCCATCATGGCCTGCGCATGCTGCATAAATGCCATAGGATCCATGGATGAGGGGTCCAGGCCTTGTGACATCATGCTCGTCAGCATGCCTTGCATCATCTCTTGTGACATATCCGGCATCCCAGGCATGCCGGGCATAGGAGGCGGTGCGCTTCCTGGAGGTCCTCCTGGTCCCGGAGGACCTCCGGGCATTGGCGGGAGCCCCATGCTTAAGAAGGCTTGCATATCATCCAATTGTTTCTTCTGATCTCCAATTTCCTTGCGTAGCTCCTGTTGCTTCAACACATAGCTGGCCCACGTGAACTCGTCAAACCCGTAGTTGAAATAATCCGTAATGTCGGAGCCTGGCCGCCTCCAAGGCTTGTCATCCTCTGGGAAGTCGGTGTCCATGTCTGTTGACATGATTGGTTTACCGGTCGCCGGATGGATAGGGTTCGCGTGGACATCGATATTCGACGCATGGACTGGAGGGTAGGCGGAACCGGGCTTCTGAGGGACCGTAGGCCTTGCAGTAGCAGGCACAGGGGTAGCAGATTCAAGTTTGGGGGTAACGGTGGGTGTTATTGATTTTGATATCGTAGAGACATCTGCAGAGGAGGGTCTTTGAGACTCCGCGCGGAGGCTGGCGTGACGAGGATGTGGGCTGTTCAATAAATTAACAAGGTGAAATGCGTTGAACAGAGGTAGCGGACTTACACTTCCGGAGGGGGTGCGTCTGCTGGTGCTTCGGTAATAATATTGAAGTCATCCTATGCGAGAGTTAGCGACAGTAACAGGATAGATTAGTTGTCGCCATGCGCATACCTCATCTTCTTCCACCTCTATCTCCTCCTCTTCCGCATCATTGGCGTCGTGGGGTCCTGAATCTGCCTGGGGATGCTGAGACCCGTTTTGATGCTGAGTTACAGGCACCGCATCGGCGGGGTCATAAAAATCATCATCTTCGTCTTCCATCATCATGTTTGGGATCTGCGACCGAGTAAATGTAGAAAGGTAGGAGAAGTGACGGGATGCGTTTCTGTCGGCGGCGATCCTGCGGAATTCGCAGGTCGTCGGCTTTGATTTGTTTGTTCTTGTGCTGCTGGTTGGCTGGGATACTAAGGTCGCGAATCTAAAATGATAAAGATTTTCAAACTCGCAGATTTTATCCTGCCAAAAGAAGTAGAGCAATAATGTAGCATAAAAAACAACAATTGACGAGAGTATTTCTTTCCTCAAGGCGCAGGCGAGTTGTGGTTGTTCCCAATCCGGCAATCTTGGACATCACGTGCCAGTACGTCAGTCGCATTCATGTGAGATTTATCGCCAATCTCGACGTCTATTCTTCGATTCTCTGAGAACAAAGTCGATATTAAAATGTCACAATCCGAACAGCCGAGCCATAGCTCGACTCCACGCTCGTTTACCAGCCAGACTGCGTCAGCAGAAGATCTGCTTAAATCGCAGACAGTTGGTCTCGTCCATCTTTCCGACTTTCGCAAACGTCGCGCCGAGGTCTTAGAGCAAAAAGAGCGCGAAGCCCATGACAAATCCCTAGGAAGGTTCACCTCCAGAAGTGCAACTCCTTCGACTGGTGAAGTGACTGACGGGTAAGTTAAAGCGCATCTCTAGGAAAGCCCGGCTTGTAACTGATCGCAAAGCGTATAGCAACTCGACGCCACGCAGCGAGGGCCCGCCGAAGAAGAAGAAAAAGAAGCCTATCACCAAGAGTAAACTTTCATTCGGCGATGACGATGAGGAGGAAGAGAACGATAGCACCGCTGATGTAGCGGCAACGCCACGGGATTCGAGTATTCCCCGCTCTGCTTCCAGGACCCCCGCCGACGACAGCTCTGCGCCCTCATCACGTCGCATTACGCCGAACCCAAATGCCCCGCCTCCTCCGAAAGCAATGACAAAAGCCGCATTGAAGGCAGAGGCAGAGGCACGGGATGCGCTCCGCAAGGAGTTCCTTGCCATGCAGGAAGCCGTGAAGAATACCGAGATATTAATCCCCTTTATATTCTTCGATGGGACCAACATCCCTGCAGGGACAGTCAGGGTCAAGAAAGGCGATCCCGTTTGGTTGTTCTTGGACCGCTGTCGAAAGGTTGGAGCAGAATTGGGTGTCGGCGGTAACAGCGGAGCATCCAAGGCTCGCAAAGACAATCGTCGCGAGTGGGCTCGAGTCAGTGTTGATGACCTCATGTTGGTTAAAGGAGAAATCATCGTTCCACATGTATGTATTCCACTATTCCGCATGGCTGCATACGCTGACTGGTACAGCATTACGAGCTTTATTATTTCATCGCCAACAGTGTACCCGATTTCACAAAGGCGGGTGGTCTGTTGTTCGATTATTCCAACAAACCACCTCCGGCGCCTTCAACAGACGATCCTTTATCGCGCCCGGAAAGCAGCCAACTAGAGGGTGCTGATAAAGATCCCTCTTTGACCAAAGTGGTAGATAGACGATGGTATGAGCGGAACAAACACATCTTTCCGGCTAGTCTTTGGCGAGAATATGAACCAGGGCCCGAGTTTGAGGAGAAGATGCGGACGACGAGGCGTGATGCTTCTGGAAATACGTTCTTTTTCTAAACATATTCGGCGTGAAGCTTATGGAGTGGCTGATATAAATAAGAGCGTTGAGACCATAGATGATGTATATTCCTGAGATACCCAATAAAACCATACCTTATTCGTACATCATAATAAACTGGTAGTACTATACGAGCGACTTGGTTGATCCCGCGGCAGTTTCCATATTGAGCCATGATGTTATGTGATATCCATCTTAGCTCAACCTCCATCCACGCCTGAACATCTCTCTAACCAAGTCTTCTGACATCCTTCCGCGGAGGTATTCGAGATATTCAGCATGGATTTCTACCTACGTTGCAACTCTCTGAAGTGTCGAGCACCATTGAAGGAGAGGGCAGTCGTCACCACCTGTTCGTAAGTAACTCCATCTGCTGCATCTCGAGTATCCCTTCTACGACTTTCAAACTCAAGAACAACACGCTGAGCATCCGAGACACATCTTCTGTCTCCATTGCGCAGGAAGCCTTGGTCTATCGCATCCCACAGCAAATGAGCGAGCCTGTCCAGCCTGTCAGGCCGTTCTCGTGAACCCCGACGACGCGGTAGCAACGGCCCTCAACCCAACGGAAGACTACAAGACCAGTGTCCTGAGCGGGCTTGATCCGAATACAATAATGGAGTGCGCAGGACGGGCATTACTCTTCTGGACATACCAGACTACTCAGGAAATGTGCGTTAGTTGTTAGCCGTAACTACACTAGATGTCTACTAACAAGCCACAGTTTCTACCAGGAATTTCTCGCAAAGACACTGACAGAAAAGTACACCAACCTGAATACACAAATGGACAAGGTTGTACACAACGCGAACTCGGAGATATCAGCCCTACAAGCCAGAATATCAGGTCAGCCTGTCCCCAATATGGGAGTGCCTAAATGAAACATACCTGACAATGAATCAGATATGGAGACAGCACAGGACCAACTTCGCAAGAAGAACCAAGAACTTGTCGATATGTATCGAGAGAAGTGCAAGAAGTTCACACAAATGACAAACTTATACAACATACTCAAATCCCGAGCAATGCGATCCCAAATGCAGACCGCTGCAACAGATACCGTGTCCCAAGCGCTAGATTCGCTAACGGCCTCTCGAAACCATCCAACCGGGCTTGTACCCGGACACTCAGAGTCATCGAGGCCTCCTCACACTCCAATGTCTAGACAATTGAACGTATATCCCATCAACCAGGAAGGCGTGGAACAAATACATCGCCATCAACGGAGCGGAACTGGTAGTTCAAAAGGCAACAAACAGAAAACTGACATCGCTGCAATGCCACCGCCTAGTCGTCCTATAGACTCCCGGAGCAAATGTATGTATGCTCCTGAGCCTTGAGCTCAGGTTGCAACTGCTGACACTGCATAGACGATCAGCCTGGCGCAATACCGCAACATCGAACGCGTCTCGTGGGTCTCTCACGCCCTTCAACTGGAAGAACAACACTACCGCATGACAGTATAATGCTACAGCGTTTCCAAGCTGAGGCTGGCCCATCTGATACTCTCCTGGACACGCGAGACCCAACGAGAAGAGGAAATATCGGCATGCAACTTCATAGCCAGAGACACAGCCCCACAGAACGTCCTAGATTAGGATCTTTCTTTGACAGAACAATCATGTAGACATACTAACATGGCATTACAAGTATCGAGAACGAGGAGAATGCAGGATCATAGCGGTTCTCAGATTGTTTGCTTGACCAATTGTGATTTCTAGTATCATACTCGTTTCAAATAGAATATATCCAGTAGAGCCGGAGCAGTCATTGAAGCCCCCATTATGGATCATCATGACACTTATTTGATACCTTACTGCTAACGCGCACCGCTCCATGTATGATGACCTCTTGAAACTATCATATGTTAATGTTATCACTAGCATTCAAGATACACTGTATCTATTTGACCCAAGACCAATGAAATATCCCATACAGCGCTATTTACTATATAGTCTCATAATCATAGTAACCCAAGCAGCTACCAATAACATTAGCACCCGAAGTACTACTATGATTAGAATGTTCCTGATTTAGGCAGCACTCATAGGCTACTACTATCTCACTAGAATGATTGCTTCAAGGCCATACCAAAGATGTGTGAGCGTGTGATGTGAATAGGTAAGAGCGATTCAATGAATGAGACAGCACTGGTTGAGTAAGAGCTAGGCAACAGTATCTAGCTATATTTAAAAATCCTAGGCTTCTTGATCTGAGCGCATAATATATTGATGAATATCAAGCCATGGTTAATGTAAATATGGAGAGATATGGAGATCAAGAGATGAGAACTCCCAGCCATAGCTCGAATTGAAGTGTGCACTGATTAATATTTGGAGAAAGGAAGAGAACGCGAAATATTGAGTGAAGAAAAAAAAATGGAATTAAAAGTAGGACATCTCAACAGGAATCAGACCTGTGAATTCACAAATTTACCAGCAAGCGCAAGGATCCAGCCTGCAATGATATCGGGGGAAGAGGGTATCAAAACAGGGTAGATATTCAGGTTGGCCATAGAACTACAAAAAGCAGTAAAGGCAGTCAAAGATGACAGTATGGCTTTATCAATGGTAAATCCAGTATCTGGCAAGTTTGATGTCATACCACTGCAATGAGAAATAAGAACAAATAGTTTTTCATACTTTCGCGCAAGTCGGAATACGCGTTCTCGTAGAGGGGAGTTCACATTTGGGATAACTCCCATTATTGATGACTTGTGACCTGGCAGGAATACTTGAGTTGTTGCTTGGGAAGTGGTCAAGACGATACCAGTTTTGCGCGCGATAATTATATCAGCTTCGTCGTCGCAGTTTGATGACAATGTAGATATTTTTTGAATACGGCTTCCAGGTGCCATTTTCCAGCTCTTTCCACTAGGCTCCCTGTAGATGATTGATGTGGCAGGACTCATACTTTCAACGCACTGAACGATGCGTAGGTGGCTTTTGAGGAGTGATGTTGACAGGGAGAGAACTATGTGCTCGTGATTTCCAGGCAAATAACGTGGTATCTGCAGCTGGTCGAAGGAGATTATCTTAGATTGGCCCTGAGCTGTGCCGTGAATGGGGTGGCTATCTGATGTTTTAGTATGCAGCGATACGTCGGGCTCCTTTTCAGTAATTTCTGTGTGCCTATTGTCAATAAAATAATGGCTCTGGGTGGCTACTTCTCGTATTGAACCCTGCCCTCTGGTTTCCATAAACCGTGATAGGGAGCCAAGACTTGTGGCCGGGTTTTGTCTAAAAGGAGTTTTTCCCTTCATTGTTGGAATGGCTTTCTGATCCGCATTGTCTGTTGTCTTGCTATCCTCTTGAGTGTCGTCCAACTTTCGTTTTCGCAACAGCGATTGACTGCTTGAGCCAATAGATTCATCAATCTCGGGTAGAATTTCAGGAAGACAGGAAGTCACTGAGAGATCTCCTTCTATTGTCGGAGTTAACAGGTGCAACTCTGGTACCGGAGATTCAGAGGCTGGCTGTGCTGAGCAATCTGGATACTCGTGAACGTATGTTTCCTGGTGAGACGTGCTACAGGCGGATGGAATTGGAGAGTAGCTTGGTCGAGAAGGAAGATCATTCACGATGCAGTTGTCATAAGGGAAACAGTCAGATGTTGCTATGTTATCGGTAATCTCAGTGTAGGTCACCTGGGAAGTAACGCTGCTTGGACTCGTGGGTATTGTCACAGCCATGATGATCTGCTCAAAGTCGGATTCAAGCCTCTTTTCATTGGTTGTGTCTATATCCGCAATGGACATTCCACCAGGCGAATCTCGCTCGAATAATGACAACATTTTTAAGGATGGATCATGCGTCAGTTGCCTGTCTATTTCTTCAGGGTCCTGATCCTCCAAATCACTCTTTAATATTGAAACGGTACTCCTTGGATCATTTTCAGCCCCAGAGTAGTCTTCATAGTGCATGGTATTGACGTCTGTTGGTACTTCGGGTGAAACATGGCGAAGAGGACTCAATAGGATGCGGTCACTTGAACTCGGTGGTGGGCTATCGCAAGGAAAGCAGTCGTCATTTAGAGGCAAAAGGGATGGGGACTGAAGCTTGAACTGATCTTCCTGTCTTCAACTTCAGCAAGGTAAATAAAAGTGGCGCGCGAGGACTTCAAAATATACCTTCGCCACGTCATTAAAAGGACGAAGCAAGTCATCCAAGTCTGGAGGACGATTGCCAGCCTGCCTTGCATCCTGAATAAGAAGCAATGCGTCCTTAGAACAATCCAGCTTCTCTTTGCTAACACTATTCCCAATGATATCCGCCTCATGTATCATATCACTGGAGAAAATGCTATCGTAGTCGCTAGCAAGTCCCTCAATTGAACACAAAATATTCTCTTCTCGGGAGTAGCGAAGCGGCTCAGCCGGAAGTGCCAAATACGAATCATTGTCAGAGGTAAAGAGAGGAAGTTCTAGCTTCAGATCATCATATCGATACCACGAAGGAAGGACTTGTTCCCAACAGTCATCAATATTGTCTCGTTTAATGTCGCGAAGCACTGACGAGAGAAATTGCAGGCCTTCCTTCCTGATGTCGAGCTTTTCGTGACGTAAATCCTGCTCGATGATTCGCTGGCTGGATGCGATGTTTTGTTCAGTAGCTGAGAAAGCGTCCCCAGGTGGGTGGAGAAAATTGGGAGGAATGTCACAAATGTCGTCAATATGTTGGAGGGGGTCAAGATCTGTATAATCAGTAGCTATGCCGTGGAAACGGGCATATTGGAGTAAAAAGACATGGTGCGAGTTTGCCATGGAGATGAAGATACTGGTCAGTATGGTTCGTGACAAACTTGTGATGGGCTTGCTAGAAGTAATTTGATATTGACAATTTGACACATAGAAGCACGTGTCTTATGCAGACATTTCAGTACTAGTAGCTTGAAGGTTGAAGGTGGGAAAGTATAACTTGAATTGTATTAGCCCGGATTTATGTACTCCTAGTTTTCAAGACGCCGAAATGTATCGCTAGTTATCTAATTATCAGATCGAAAGTCCCGAGAGCCAGCTCTCATGTTCCCTCAAAACCTTTGAATCACGCTAAACATCCAGAATACGCAAATAATTTGCCAGCCTTGGTGGATCAGTCATTGTAATTAGACTGGCGGGAGCCGTCCTTGTTAACAGGAGGCAAGTTGTAAAGAGCATTGAATTCCTCTTCTTGCGATTTTCCTGCCGGATCCAAGACGGGGCGCTCTGCGTGGCAGCAGACGCGAACAGCATGACGACGGTGAGGAGCGAATCCATAAGAGGCAGAGTGGTTCTATCAATAATTAGCTTATAGCCCAGAGATACTGCGAGAGGCATGATACTCACAGTTGTCCTATTGTCCCAAATAGCGACATCATTCTTGTTCCACTGGAATCGCGCGTGCATCTCTTGAGTTGTCGCAATAACTTCGGTGAGGTATCTGATGATAGCGTCGCTTTCGGTCTTGGGGATTCCCACAATCTTTGTGACGAATCCAGGATCGAAGAATAAACTGTTCCAGCCAGTGACAGGGTTCGTCCGGATAAGAGGGTGTTCTGTGGTAACCGGATCCCGACGGACAGGTCGACCAAGAGCATGCGAATCAGAGGCCTGCATATCCGCCGAGTGTAGAGCAGTCAGACCCTTGAGGTATGTTTGCATGTGAGGAGATAGTGCATCATATGCCGCGTATTGTGACGTCCAGAGCGTATCACCACCACCTCCCCGTGGCGGGCCGGTCAAGACCTTCAGCGATGTGTATGAGGGAGGCTGGACTTCATATGTAACCTAATATATCTTATCAGCCAAATATCCGGGGTCACAAGCAAGGGTAGCCCATACGTCTGAGTGCCAAAGGAAACTGGGTGTGAACATTGCTCGCTGGTCAGTGGAGTTGTCTCCGGTGTAGACGACGTGAACGTCCTCCAAGCCTTCTCTTTTCGGGACAGACGTGGTTGCGTGCTGGAAGACAATGAGGTTAGTAGTAAATTATTATAATTTTATGCAGACCATGCATACCTTGTGAAGCTTCCCGAAATATCTACCCAGGTCACGCTGGGCATCGATATCCAAGTCATCCTGTCCTCGGAAGAAAACAACACCACGAACAGCTACCAGACGAGCTAAGTCATCCTTCTGTGCATCATTCAGCTTCGCCAGATTCACTCCGTGAACCTCGGTTCCAATCTTGGGGGTGTAATCAAAGACGTCTGTTGCGTCTTGGAGTAGATTTCGGAACTTGGCGTCTCCATAGATACCCCTATCCTCATACGGTGTCTCCTCTAGCGGAGGCCAATGAAGATTAGGGAAAGTAGGGAGAAGGTCTTGGTACTGATAGTTATCATGATTTTCCACAACAGTTCTGCCTGGCTGGTAACCAAATTTGTTGTCATCTGTCGTTTCCTTCTTAATTACGGGAAGGCGGCCGACTGGGTGGGTTACCACGGGGTCCACGAGTGATGGCGCCATGGTTTATGCGGCAAAGTTGATTGTGATGTACAAATATGCTTGTGAGAACGATACTAACAAGATGTGTTTGAATGGGGACTTATGTGACACAAGGACCGATATTCGATGCAGGATGAGACTCTGAGTTTATATAGGAATAAGAGCACAACAAGAGAACGAAGAGGCCACATCCTCCACTCCATCGTCAAGGAAAGAGATAGCCGGACACAATCAAGCATTGCCCAAAATTCGGGACAGGCGGGTATTGCACCATCGCTGGAGAATATCACCCAAGCGGCTGATCAAGCAACTATGTATCCATGGGGACACTGAACGACGTTTCGGAGGAGCCTCCCCCAAACAATAGCGGGTCCGAGGATGGTGTCAGCGAAGATCGCGTCATTCGAAGGCAACAGTTGTGGAGACATTCTGTGACGCTCCGCGTCGGGTCAGATCTCCCGCTTATCTGGGAAGACCCGGAGGCGTCACACCGCTTCCTTGAGCTAAGTTGATCTGTCGCGAATCACATACGTATGTAGGGTTCTAGAATGTCACTAGTAGATAGAAACGGATCCATATACCGTATTGGGGGTGCGAGAGTGAGTATGGGGAAACACCCCACAGGTACATCATGCTGAGATAGCAGGACGGAGTATGCCAGGCTGTCTTATGAACGACATTTCAAGGTGGCCATATGAAATACTTCATTGTAAGCTTCGAACATTCCAGCAGAAGACCCTTGTCAGCGGGAATAAACGGACTCCCCTGCCTCAAGGGCCTCCCTCCTTCAGAAGGGTCAAGCTGGAAACCGGGGGAATAGGGTGACGTTAGCCGAAGGATTAGGTGCGATCACGCCAGTCTGCCGTCCTCTTGCGTCTTGCGCCGAACAGGCAGCTTGGCATTCTTCACCCTCCAGCGTGACCCCTGGCGAGCCGCTTCATTCTGTCACGGCGGATTTACGTGCATGTACGGAGTACGGAGGGATGATTACCAACAACCGCAGACATGAGTCACTCTGATGCTTATTACAATTGCCATATTATGCATGCCATGCTTTGGTAGTAGTATTATTATTGAACATGACTCATTCGAGCCTTAAGTAACTATGCGATTCGAACTAGCTTTCTATTGAGCTTAAGATGGTATCCTTATTTGTCATCTCCCAGATGCTTCACATCCAGTTCAGCGACGCCGTTCTGCGCGGTCATAGGCAGGGTGGTCGAGGGGTCATGGCCACTAGCGGATAGTCGGATCAGATAATTTGGCAAGAAGCCGAATTTGTATCAAGTTTCGCCTCATATGTAGCGAATTTAGGTATGCTTCATCAAATCTAAATCCATCCGTAATTTACATGAAGACGATGTTGTGATGTCAATGCACAGACTTCCAGACATTCATGAAACAGAGGGCGGGCCCAGAACCACCTCTTGCACTTGCTCGGTAACTCCACCGAGACGGCTGGCCACGCCTAGTATGCCAGCCTCAACATCGCCTAGAACGGTGGCAAGCTCGCTGACAATGGACTTCGGGGCTCCGGCGGCTGCTCCATCTCGACTACGAGATGTCACAAAGTCATGGATCTGTCGTTCCAAAGTCGCCTCAACTCCGTGAAGGTGGTCTTCAATCTCTTTCAAATTTCGTGTGTAGCGTTCCAGGACCTCTCCCATCTCGTCAGAGCGCTGAGAGAAGTAGTCAACCAAGTTGACGGGTACCCCGTTCACAGATGTGGCAGTGGACGGGTCGCTTTCAACATCGTCCGGGAGAGCTAGAGTGTTCTTGCGCGTAGATCTCAATGCTTGTCCATCTGACATTTTCTGATCTTGAGACCACCATCCAGCCCCACCGGTAGATTGATACTGCAGTGGCAACTTCAAGGTATCAATCGCTCGGAATGCAACTTGAGCTTCAGCCGCGTCGCGAGACACAAGATTACGCAGCTGATCAATGTCACCTGCGTCATTCTCGAGTGCGTGCTGCATTGTCTCTAATTTTCCCTGGACAAACTCAACGTCATTGGGAATCGTCTCTCCCTGGCCGGCGATGGTGGGTATCATATTCGCAACCTCATTGCAGATCTTGATTTGGTTAAGGACAAAGTTATCAAACTTTTCCAACTCCGATTTGATCTCATCTGCGCAGCTCTCGTATTTCGTTGTGGGAAGAATGTTGCTGATATCGACTTTGACCCCAGGGATGACCGTTGTCCCGGCCGCTGCCGTGGGTTGTGTCGTTGGTTGCGCTGTGGTATTCTGGTTTCCGAATAAAGACAGAGTAGGCTTCTGTGTTTGTTGTTGTTGCTGCTGCTGCTGCGCGCTAGTTTGATTGGCGCCTCCACTGTGATGGTTGGCATGAGCCATGACTATTGTTGTGGGCAGGAATATCACTTACAATAGGCCCCCGCTAGTAGTTGTAGAACCCCCAAGTCCACCGAAAAGTGGCTTTGATTGCGTCTGGTTTGCAGTGTTACCGCCCAAGTTGCCAAACAGTCCTCCACCGGTGTTCCCGCTTTGTGTGTTGGTCGTGGTTGTGGCTCCCGAGAAAAGACCACCTGACTGTGGCTGCGAAGTCGTGGCAGTAGAGTTCCCAAACAGACCTCCACCAGTTGAAGTAGTATTCGACTGCTGGCCACCTAACCCCGGAAACAGACTCGAACCGGTAGGCTGAGATTGTTGTGTAGCGCCGCCGGCGTTTCCAAATAGGCCACCGGCCGGCTTTGACTGAGTCGCAGTATTTCCAAGGTTACCGAAAAGCCCGCCCGAGGTCGTAGTGGTCGCCGGTGTTGTAGTAGTGCTAGTCTGCGCATTGGTTCCAGAGCCACTGATAAGGAAACTTTGTTAGCTCTTCGAGGCTTGAGTGAGGGCCGGAAATACAAAAGGAATGAGACGAAGCAATTGCAATTTAGACACCTCGTACAGGCGTAAACCAAGATGAGACCATAAATCCACTAACAGACGCAACAGGAAAGAAAACCTTACAATAGAGAATTGGCAGAACCGGTGTTGATGGACAGGCCGGTTGATGTGCCCGCAGGCTTTGTACCGAACATGATGGGCAGTTTAGACTGGGAATGAAACCGAGGGCTCAGATGTCGAGCAAATTTCGATAGGATTAATGAGACAAGAACCTTTGTTGCGCCCGTCAAAAGGGTCTTGTGCCAGCACAATGTCCACAGGAGCTGGAGCGAGTTGCGACGTCGGAAAACAACAATCAAGACGATCCTCCCGGCTAGTGTTGGATGGGGAAAGATTTGCCGGTCCGAGATTAATCAGCGTTATCGATAAGGACTAACTAAACGCAGCATAACCACCAACAATAATTTGATTAAAACATTCCCGATGAATATCGATTGCGACTTTTCATTTTAAGCGCTATGATGAAGAAGGACTGAGGGAGTATTTCTCAGCGGCATAATCTCATCACTTTACACTTCATCGCAGGGTGCCATTCCTCTTGATTCCCACTGCAGGCACTGTAGGAGCTAATTCACATATGTAGTCCGCGATAACCTCATCACTTGATTTTCTCCAATTATCACCTCATTGCCTCTATTCCACGATACTCAATTAAATGTTCCTTATGTTACAAGATACTCAGTTCTAGGGCATTTGGAATTGAGTACAAAGGGTAGCGACTTTCAATCCTTTGCTCCACCCACTACTTTAAAGCGCCTCCGGCCATTTCAGATTCTTATTGATTGTTTCAACTTGCTACTATATGAGAAACCTCAGCTCCCAGAATGACAGAAGAACAAGAGCCTATCTGTGTTGCCTCTACCCGTCAGGAGGGTGATGAGCATTGTCCAGGATCTGCAAGTCATTCTCCAAATTATCAAGACTCCACCTCCCTACAATCAAATGAGAAGCGCAGTCTCGGCCAAAACCCTAATACAACATATTTCAAGGGCGCAGAATGGTAAGGCTCCAGGTGTCACTATCAGGGCTTGTCTAATCTTGAAAATCAGGTCGGCGGATGGAACCACTTTATTGACGGATTCCTCCGATCACCATATCAGAACCTGGATCTTGTCAGTAAAACCTACTCTCCTCTTGTCAACATAGCCTGACCAACACTCTACAGACCACCTGATATGCTAGAAGACACGGCCTCTCCCCGCGACTTATCGCCATACTCTGTCTTGCCGTCAGCAGAACCGACCTATGCGACTGCCATGTACCCTTTCTTCTCCCTTCAGGACCCGTCGACGACATTATTTCTCTCATCTGTTCGAGACCATCCAATCAGATTGACATCTGCTCTTGCTCCGACTTCTGTGGCGACTTATTCTCTGGTAAACCCAATGACAGAGGCCTTCATAACGCCTCATTCAATGATTTATCCATCTGCCCTGGGAGGGAGCCAATTTCTCACTGGTTCAGACAGCCTGATTTGCCTCTTTGATGTCTCTCGACCGGGTAACGATGGACCTGTCACTTCCATGCCGACAATACCAAGCAAAAGAAAGCAACAGGTGGGTGGAGGCGTGGGAATGAAAGGAATCATCTCTGCCATGGCCCTGGATCCGACAGGGGCTGGTATTTTAGCTGCTGGAACCTTCACCAGACATGTCGGACTTTATGGTGCACATGGAACAGGGGAGTCCCTAGGGACATTCAGCATATCGAAAACAGAAGCTCACCGTCATATTGGCGGCCGTGGAATCACTCAACTGCTGTGGAGCCCCTGCGGAAGGTACCTCTACGTTGCTGAACGGAAAAGTGATGGAGTCTTAGTATATGATATCCGAGTCACTGGACAACTGCTTGGATGGTTGCAGGGCCGCAAAGCTTTCACAAATCAAAGGCTGAAAATCGATGTATTTCCCAGTGGAGAAAACGGCTCGCATGAGATCTGGGCTGGCGGAACCGATGGCTGCATGAGGGTGTGGCAGAACCCTACACATGCTACTGGTGCTCAGGATCCCAAGTGGGAATGGAAGGTTCATAACGGTAAGTGTGCTTCCCGATGAAGGACAAGGACACCTGTGCTAATATAGAATATAGACACTGTGAGCAGTACTGTGTTGCATCCAATGGGGAATATAGTTGCCACAACTTCAGGTCAACGGCACTTCGAAAAAGACATCGACGATGCCAGCTTACCAGCTATGCCTGATATTGACAACAGCTTGAAGGTGTGGTATATGCCACTTCTAAATGCGAACAGCGATGACGACTGAAAGGGGCTTGTTGGACGTCATACACTGGTATATGCTGTCTGCGCACATAATTTTTTCAGATGACCGACATACCCCCTATCTGTCAACGCTGCAACAGCCGTGCGCTGGGGATTTCAAACATCAAGGCCTCGAGCTATGGGTGCATGAAGGCGATCAGGGGCTAGTATCTCTAGCGCCGGGTTCCTGCAGCAGCAGCAGCAGCAGCAGCAGCAAATAATAGGCCATACTACTATAAAATGCTTGCATATCTACCGGCCGAAGATATACTTCACTCTGGAACAGAATAGGGGACCAGAGGACCATGGGTTACTCGTGCCATGGATTCAGACAGCCCAAGGAATTCTTCGAAAGTTGGATTTTCCCACAGGATGTCAGGAATTCACAGATTCACGGTGTTTCACCTGCACTTTGTGAATGTGTGAATTTAGGCAACCCCTCCATCAACGTGAACGTGAATCTGTGAACGGGGACCTGTGAACTTGAATCCTGTGAATCCGGTCACGTCTACCATTGTGTCTACCAAACACAGATAGAATGAATTTGAGCCTTCTACCAGTTACAGTTTCCAATTTCAGTGTTCTTGTTGCCTGGAAATGGGGTAGCTTGCCCTGGCTTCTGCTTTTTGGTTTTTACTATGGAGTTTTCTACAGCCCAGTGGATCCCGATTCCCTACTCAAAGGCCAGTGTGTTAATGCATTTGTGATTCCATTCACAGGTGGTGAATAGCATGCAAAATTCACAAAATGCTTGAGTTTTCACACAGTACTTAACTTCTCTCCCCTTCCCTCCTCTATTCTTTCCATATTCCTCGTGTCTACAGATCCTCATTCCTCAGAGTACAGAGCTTCTTGTGATCAGCTAAAGATCTTGCTTCACAAGCATACTGTTACCATAAGGACAAGTTGGATTTAGTCACTCATCTCCGTCTACACCATCAGCTTGGTCAATTTGTCTTTGTTTATTCCTGCTTCTGGAGCTTTCAAGAACGCGTTTAGGAACGAGTCTTTGGATTCCGTGTCCAGCAAAAGACCAGTATTGGTCATTTTCTTGAAATGGCTACCTTTTCTCCAACAGGTGGACTGGCGAGCGATTTGACACTTACAGATTCGAATAACGCAGAGGCCTATAACGAGTTGCTTGGGCAAGGTGGTATCCAGTAAGTACTCATTCACTTGTTCTTGTCCTTTTTCGCCAACATATCCTAACATTATATGCCAGGCTTGACGACTTCTTTGCAGCACCGGTGGGGTCTACTGGCAATATCCAAACCTTTTCACAAGACCTTCCAAGCACCTTCATAGCGCAGGACGTTGGTGAAGATGGAGGTTTTGATCCATTCGTTATGGGAATGAACATGGACCCAGTTTGGCCAATGACCTCGTTCGGTTCAGAACCCAGTCTTTTTGCAAGCATCGATGACGGGGCATTGCCTGCAATGGATGATAATCAAACCAACCCCATTGATAATGTCGGGAGCTTTGATCAGACTGCGGCTGCCAATAACATGGAACCTAGTACTACTGGGCAATCCAATTCTACAGCTGTAATCCAATCTGGATCCATGCCTGAAAACCAGACTATGGTAGGTCTGCAGGGCCCAGAAGCCCTTGGCTTAGCTTCTACCATGTTCGCTCGTGGAAGGGCGCCTATCAGCGTTCCTATGAATGGCGTTCAGCAGAATACTCTGAAGCAGACGCGCGAAACCCTACCGATGGGATTCAGCCCAATGGATTTTTTCGGTTTTGCTGGTACTGCTGTTAACAACTCGGGCGCCTCATATGACAATGACGAAGCCAATGAGGCCTTTCTAAATATTGGAAACAACCTTTTGAGAAATGCCGAGAACAACAACAACAACTATGTGAACAATGCTTCCAGCAACTATGCGAACAATGCTTCCAACAACCTCGTGGAAAATGCTTTGGAAAATGCTCCGGACAATCAGGCGGATAATGCCTCGAGGGGCTCATACAATTCCACACCCACCGAGCAGGCCGCAAGCACATTCGGCAATGAAATCGGAAAACAGAATGGCTCTTCAAATGGATCTCAAAAGAGTACTCCTCCTTCGCAGCCAGTTCATGCTGCTGGTGGGCCCCAGGGAACAGCTATGCCGACAATCCAAGTCGATAGAAACCGATCTAATTCTGGCTCTTCGCGCAATTCTGGTACCTCCCAGAGATGCAAAGCATCCTCGCCTGTGGATCAGATTACTGGAAACACTGGAAGCGAAAACACCGGCAATCAGATTACTGGACATCAGATCTTTGGAAGCCAGGTTGCTGGGCATCAGATCACCGGTAATCATGGCATTGGATTTACACCCCAGCAATGGACTCAGGCGTGCCAGGGTATCTTCTCTTCTCAGCAGGTTGCCAGTCAAAATAACAGAGTGATCCGGTCTTCGCCAGAGTCTGGATCTGGACCGATGAACTCCAGCCCACCCGACTATCTGCCTGGCCAGCTTGGGACAGCCGAGGAACTTAATCAAGATGGCTCATCAGGAGGAAGCGGGTTTTCTGTGCAGCAGAACACACACCCCCATGCGTATCATTTGGCCGCTGTTCAGAGCGAAGCCACCATCCCAGTTGATATGTCTGGCCAGCCGGTCGTCACCGCTCCAGCCCCTGTCCATAACCTACAGCCAAGCTTCGTTCCACTGATCGAGCAGCTGATGAACCCTGAAGTTTATAACATCGACTGCAGTACATTGTATGCTTCAGTCGAAGAAGCCAGGGCAGCCCGTCCGGTGCAGGATGGTGTTCGAGAGGATACAACCCTGCCCACCAATGATCTCCAGAAACAGGCGATTGTTAGAGCCCTCACCAAGGCAATGTTCAGTACCCAGAACGCCGAAGACAACCCCGGAATGATTAAGCCATTCAAAGAGGGCAAGTATAGCGCCGAGAGGGTCGAGTGTGTCTGCTGGGAGATACTGGTAAGTCGTGGAGTCAGGCAGTACTGTTGTGTAGTGGATTTAACATTGCCTTTAGGACTGCGTTATTACCAGACAAATCTCGGGCTCATTGTTGGCAGTTCATGGACTGAAGAAAAAGATTACGAGCGATTTGATGACGTTCGCCGAACGTATGACTAGAGTCCTGAATTGCCTCGAAACCCAAAAAACAATTTGCAAACATCTTCTAGATGCTCCATACATGCATCAATTTGTTGATGATCCGCAGGCTGCCTATAAGCGTGTCATTGCGAATAAGACACTGAATAAGCGCAAGGGAGAAGTGATGAATGCGGGCAAGCAAGTTCTTGGTGCCAAAAAGGCCGCTGAATCTAACGCAATCAGCCAGTCGGTTAAGGTTGCCGCCCCTGCAATGCCCACAGCATCTACCATGCCGAACATGGCCAACGTGCCTGCAGTGACTAACGCCGGTGTTGCAATGACTCCAAACAACAATCCCGGAAGCATTGCAGCGACCGGAAGAAACCCACCTCCTGCCACTCCAACCCATATGTCCCAGCCGGTGAACCTCATGGCCCCGGCAAACAGAGCGAGATACCAAATGCCGATGAGCGCAGGCACTCCAACACCTGTTAACCAAGTCAGACTGGGTCCAGTGCAATACCACTCGGCACCTCTGAACAGAATTGCCGCTGCTCAAGCATATCACAACCGTATGATGGGTGGCCCAACCTCGCATCCAAGAACAAATGCCGGCTCCGTCACAATGCCCCCGACCACTCAGGCTTCTCCTTCTCCTTATGACCCAGAACAAACCCTTAACAACTTGTTGCTACGTAATTTGATGGCGAATCAGAATCAAGTTGCTCCTGAAACCATGTCATACCCACAAATGGGATACCAATCACGGATGGTCAACCCACACCAAATGGGCAGCCAACCCCAAATGGGACACCAAACCCATATGGGACCTCAAACACAGGTGCCAGGCACTGGATCAGGTACACGCAAACGCAGAAGGGAAGAATCAGATGCCGAAGACACTTCTCCTTCCGCCAAGCGGCAGCATTAATTGTACCACAAACATGACTACTTGTCGTCAGAAGATCATCTAATAGGCTCATACGAAAGAAAAAGGGACTCAACAGCACCAGTTGCTTGTCAACACACTACTCAACAACCTTCTCGAACATCGGACAGCAACGCGACAGCACATGGTGCTCGTTATGATACACTCGACCTACTCCGAAGAACACATAATCTCTACTCGGAGGATGCGCGCGACAGCACAGTCGCTTGTCAATAATCAATTTTACGAATACTACGACGATCATGGGCTTTTACGAACAGAACCGAACAGCAGGACTTGCATGTCACGAATACATCTCTCGAATCTCGATTTACATGAACATACTCCTCCACACCATACATATGGCGCCGACACGACCCAACCCATTTAGACATACCTTAATCTATCACATCTGACTTGGTCTACGAATTCACGAGCTACGATACTACCGGGATTTTGGCTGTTGTAGGTGTTTTGTGATACCCCAGTCTAATACACATCTCCGACTTTTCGCGCTCTGGCGTTGCCTTTGGAATAACATCGTCTTCTTCTTCTTTTCTCATGACTGGGATAATTCCGCTTTGGCTCTACACTCAGAATTCTCTGTTACATTGTTTCGAAAGACCAAATTCAGGAGGCGCGCGCTTTGCGAAATTGAGGCTCATGTGTACGGCAGATTGGTCGACACTTTTGATTAATCGGTGCTGAGCTGGCCTCATGCACTGTTTTTGCTTCACTTTGCTTTGATCTTAGTTTCTTCTTCGTTTTCTCTCAGGTACATGAGATTTCGCCGGTTTTTGTAAGAGTTCTGGTGCTCAATGTTTCTTTTTCCGTTTCTTTTTTTCTGAGATGTTTTTTTTATCGCGCATTTGATTTTATTTGCTGCTTCTGGGATTTGATCTTCTGTTATTGCTGTTTTCTCACATATCTCACTTTATTTGATTTTCTGCTTCTCAGTAATCGTAGTCTATTTGCTTCTGCGTTATCCCTCCGGGGTACATAGTTCTTCTTCTTTTCTCACGGGTATCACATCTTCACCTGACGTGGCTGTAAATTATCAGATTGCCAGAAACTTCATGTCTATAGCCCAATAGGCAGAAATGAATTCACGCAGGTTTAATTCCATAACGCTCATACGGGAAATTCTCCAAAGAAGGCAACAACTCTCCCAACCCATCACCAATCTCACCGGGCTTACCGGCACTCTTCAACCGACCGGCGACGATCTCGTCCGCTTCACGCTCCGGCTCAGTCTTCTCTGCTTCCTTATGTTCTCCCGTAAGCCCAGCCAACACCTCATCCTCACGTCCCTTATACGACTCCAACAAACCAGGGTGCGGGACCCAGACGACACGCATACCGGCTCTCCGACCGGCCTCAACACCCGGCACCGCATCCTCAAAGACCAGACACTCCTCGGGCTTGATCTCAGTCTCTCCCTTCTCGCGCAGATTCGTGTTGATGGTCTCTAGCGCGAGCAGATAGATATCGGGAAGCGGCTTTCCCCGCCCCTTGCCGATGCGGGGATCGTCGCCCAGCACTTGTTGAGATTTCGGGAATGCGGAGAACAAGTCGCCCAGATGGCTGGCCTTCAGCTTGAAGTTCCGGCTGTGGGAAGATGTGGCAAGGGCTAGATGCACGGGCTGATCGGTAGCTTGGGTGGAAACAAGCTTGGCGAGGAGGTCCCTGACGCCCGGGAGGGGCTGGGATTGAGGGAAGAATTTCTCCTGAAGGGCGGATTGCTTTGCGGCGTATTCTTCAGGAGAGATGGGGAGTTGGGCCCAATGGTGGAAGATGCGACTGGCCTGGTTTGGACAGTCAGAGGATTTGAACACAGAGGGGTTGAAACTGGCGGTTAAGGTATTTGCGATTCGAGCGATATGTGAAGGGAATAAACAGCAACGGGGGGACTTGAGGGGGGTGGGAAAGGGAATCTACATACGTCTGGTTGAGGACGACCCTGCAATTGAGCTTTAATAGACCACGGGAGCAGAGGCTTTCCATACTCCTGAAGAATGGCATTGGTGATATCCGTGTACTTGTCCTCCGAGTCGATGAGCAGGCCATCCATGTCGAAGAGACATGCCCGCACGCGGGGTAGACTGGGTATCAATCAGCTAATTGCGACTTATTGACGGGGGCTTCAAAGCCATACTTTTGGACTGAGTTAGGCATGGTGCAGATAGTCTCCTCAGATATTCAAATGCGAGGACAAACAGTTCAGGGATGATGGTTGACAGCGATTATGCGCCTCGACCGTTGACGATGAATCAATATCGGAGATCGGCAGGAGGGGATGTCAGTGCCTAAGGCAGGGAGGGGCAGCGGCATCTCCGACTCCCGACTCGCCGACTCCGCGGAGCTGCAAGTAGCTTCTGGAACCACCAGAACAAACCACCAGTGGAAACACAAGCAGTTGGTCAACCTAAAAACAATCAGAACAAAGATGACGAACGATGCGAAACAAAAAGCCGATAATGCGGCTAACAGTGACGGTGAAGAAGAGGACGTGTTTCACGATGCGCGCTTCCCCGCTGAAGAAGAAACGGTGAGGTTACGTCTTTGCCCCTCACCAGCAGCAACATACTAATATAGCTACGAAAACTAGAGACTCCTAGAAGAATCCCATACCATTAAAGCCGAAGCCAACAAATTATTCACCGCAGCCTGCTATGACCAAGCCATCTCGTGCTACGACCGCGCCCTCGCCTCATGCCCCAACTACCTCGACTACGAAGTCGCCGTCCTGCGAAGCAACATGTCCGCTTGTTATCTGAAACTCGAAGATTGGAAAGCGTCTGTCGACGCAGCGACTGCCTGTATAGACCGCTTGGATAAGGTGGTTCCTCCTGCGACAGGGGCAGCCGATGCGGAGGGTGCCAAGGGAAAGCAGCCGCAAGAGTCGAGTGGCGAAGACGCCGTGGTCGAGATAACGGGTGACGATGACGAAGCCGAGGAAGAGTTGAAGCGGTTACAAAAGCAGGATGAGAAGAAACGGGATGTGCTGCGTATTCGCGCAAAGGCGCTTATGCGTCGGGCGCGGGCGAAAATGCAGCTCGGCGGCTGGGGGAACCTGCAAGGGGCGGAAGAGGACTATAAGGAGCTGGCTGCGATGGATAATCTGCCGCCAGATGATAAGCGTGTTGTGCAGAAGGCGCTTCGGGAGCTGCCTGCGAAGATCGGTCAAGCGAGGGAGAAGGAGATGGGGGAGATGATGGGAAAGCTCAAGGATGTAAGTCGATGCTTTTCGAAGTTACTTATTGAGGTGCTAACGGAATATAGCTTGGTAATGGATTCCTTAAGCCGTTTGGGCTGTCAACCGATAACTTCAACTTTGTGCAGGATCCGAAGACGGGTGGATATAGCATGAACTTCCAGTCATGAACTTCCAGTTGGTTGGTCTGCTGATAGAATTGCTTCCCAAGATGCATTGCGGAGTTTGGGATTTGATAGTTGAGCGTCATATAAATTGGTCTTAATTTCATGCCTGACATGGGATCTCTTAGTAGACAGTATCTACAAACCATTGACAGAACAATTGTGGGTATAAATTGCTGCTATTGAAGTCTCAATTGGATAATGGAGACTGGGTCATGCCTTATCTTGCGCGCGGAAAAAGCTACGCAACAATTATATGGGTCTGATTGAACTCGCTTAAGAGCTGCAGCAATCGGAACCGGTCTTCAACAGAGCCGGGCAAGATGATACCAGAAAGAGTCAAGATGAGCATGGAGATCCCCGCATATCCGCACTGGGGGATTTCCGAGCGGGGAGCTATATCCTTAAAACCGGACTGCCATCAAGTCAAATCAATACCATTCCCTCTCCATAACTACATATTTTCTTTCTCGTCGTCTACATATCACACCATGTCAGACATAATCCAGGTCACTACACACCTCGGTGAGATTCGCGGAAAAACCACGAATGGTGTTACCCAGTTCTTGGGAATCAAGTACGCCACCTTGAAGAATAGACTCGCAGATGCAGAACTAGTTGAAAGGCGCGACGGAGGCGTTCTCGATGCATTAAAAGACGGGTAAGGCATCCAATTGCGAACATTAGCAGATTCTCTTCTTCGATTATGGTTACACACTAAACGAGAGTCCCTGAAGGCCAACTGCGATATCACCTCTAGGTGGTTGTGACTTGGAACTTAGCGCGATTCAACACACCCTGCCCAAGAAGGAACTCACCCAGTCAGACGTGGACTGTCTGAACTTGAATATTGCTGTTCCTGCAGGCACTCCTGCCCATTCAAAACTTCCCGTGTTTGTCTTCATCCATGGAGGTGGCCTCATGATAGGGGCCAATTCCTGGCCTCAATTTGACTATGAGCGTTTCGTAAAGTTGTCTATGGTCAATGAGCTCCCTATTGTCGCGGTCTCCATAAAGTGAGTGGGCAAAGTGTCGCTATACATAATGCACAGGTTATCTGACTTTGATCAAGCTATCGTTTAGGACCATATGGATTCTTGACCTCGGATGAACTGCGCAAAGCTGGGTACAAAGCCAACAACGGACTTCGAGATCAGAGGGTGGCTTTGGAATGGGTACGCAGGCACATTGTGGACTTCGGAGGAGATTCCGAAAACATCACTGTCGCTGGAATGAGTGCTGGAGCAGGTAAGGTTTCTCTCGTTTCTCCTCAAGAAGGAAGGAAAATTGAAACGTATAGCCTCTGTCACATTTCATCTCGACTCCGAAACACCGCTGTTCAAACGCGCTATTCTGATGAGTGGCTCTCGATTCTTTGTCCAGGCTCTGCCATACGACGCGCACGAGGAAAACTATCGACAGGCAATCTGGGCACTTGGACTGGAAAATGCTACGTCAGACGAGAGGATCAAGGCCCTTTTGGAAACACCCGGCCAAGATTTGCTCCCTAAGCTTCCTCCATCTGTTTTGACTGCGCCCGCAGTTGATGGAGACATGGTTCCGTCTACCGTAACATATGCACAGGTAGCCGACCGGACGAGCAATATCCCCAAGGGGAAGCAGTGGTGTCGCGATTTACTGATTGGTGATGCCCAGTATGATGTAAGTGGTTGGAGAAAACGACTATCAAGAGAGTTCGAGCTCACAATTCATTTCTTAGAGCAACATTCTTGCTATCCTGATGCCACATTTGAAGAACGAATGTGCAGGGCGTCTTGCGAAGGCAGTTCACTCCGTCTTTCCGACCAAGCAAGAACTAGCAACACGGATATTGGCAGGATACGGTTTGACTGCCGAAACTGCGGATGATGAGGCTTTCCCCGCGGTTCTTAATTATCTTAATGATATCTTCATACTGGCGCCAACGCTGACATACACGAGTGGGTGGGAAGGGCACACAAACGTCTACTACTTCAACGAGGAAAATCCTTGGGATGGACCTTGGCAGGGCAAGGCTGGCCACATATTAGATGTCGCGTATCTGTTCCAGAATTTCCGGGATTACATGACTCCCGCTCAGCAAAAATTAGCAGCTGCATTCGCCGTTGACTTCTTCAAATTCTGCTATGGCATTAAACCATGGCCTACCGTGGTGAATGGCGACATCCAGAATGGATTTACGGCACGAATCTACGGACCCTCCTCTGAAGGAGAGACAGTTGCGCAAGTAGCCCAAGCCTATGGTGGCCACTCTCGGCGAAGGTCGGTTTTATTCAATCTTTCCGACGAAGCATCCTTGGATGAACTGGCAAGGGTCGCTGCTGTATTTATGACTAGTTAACACCCCAAGATTTGAATTTACAAGATGTATAGTTTGCAAAAGAAAGAGCAGGGTTGCAGCTTCCCTCATCAGAGCAGCAGAATGTCATAGTTTTCACTTATTTTCTCTTTTCTCGGAGAATCAATCTCCCATCTTTTCTTCTCTACACGGACCTAATCACTCTTCTCATCCCTATTCTCACATTCTTATAAGTCCTATAATGCAGCAGAGAAGATTACTCCTTCCAGGAGAACCTGTACCTTACGACACTTCACGCCCATGGTTTCCACAACATGGCGCCGGCAATGGAGAAGGGTAGGTAACTCCCCCATGAAACGCACAGTATGATGACCGGCGAAGGACTCCCTACTTCCGTGGCAACATTATAGCGTTACATTCCGTCGATTACTTCCAAGCCCAGCCAACGCTGTTAATTTGCCGAATCGTGGACGTGCATGAGCCCTTTTGGAAAGTGTGTGCGGTGACCGTCCAAGTCGAGGGTCCTCTGGGCACTCTAGGCGGAACATTACACATCAGGATGTTCGACAGACGCTTTACAACAGGCATACGATTGAGGCATGGGTGCCCGAATTGGTGCTATGCCATTGAATCGAGATACCGGCAACATGGACCGTTGCCAGTCACGCCGTATGGGCAGCCATCAGAAGACCCAAATGCTCGTAGCCTGAATCAAAGAGAAGATGGCGCCCAAAAGGCCATGACTCATGCCTACCGGACGGAATTGCAAGCGTATGATACCCTGAGTGATCTTCAGGCGGGACATATCCCTAAACTGCTTGGTACTGCCACGATGGCATGGCAAGTAATGAATGAGATGGGAAGAACTATTATTGGATCATGCCCTGGATTGATCCTCGTTCCTCTCGATGGAATGCCCCTCCTCAAAATGAACTACATCCTAAAGCACACGTGGCAGTTTATATTCTGGGATCTTGTCAACATTAAACAGATTTTGCAGAGTCGGGGCTTGTATAATATTGATACAACCCCGAGGAACATTATCATTGTTCCATGCCATCCCTGGGGGCTCTTCAAAGTGGTACTGCACAGCCTGCAATTGAACGACGGGCCTGGTGAGACTGGAGCGTCGACCACTAATACTGGTTGAAAGGTTGTCGCGCTGGTCCAAGCTGATGAAAGAAATGAAACTATGCTGAAGGAATCTTCACGAGATGACTATTATTAGTAGATATTGGGGGTGTTCAAAGTTCTGGACCTTGGGGGATTTTGGAGTTTTAATTGTCAATTGGTGCCTTCAGTACTTAACTAATGTACTAGCTCATGATCAATCTGGATTGTTGTATTCGGTTTCACAGGTCCTAGGGGAAAAAAAAAGGGAAACTTTATAAATTTGACAAGGGATTCAAATATCTGTCTTCAATAACACCTAGATTCACACCATCACAACTAGTAACACACAACTACTTCCCACCACGACTCCTACCAACACCGCCCCTCCCCTATCCCACAAACAACCTAAGAAACAGTTGCGTTGACCGTAGTATTGAGGAATCCAGAACCCAGCTTCGCCTCCGCAGCCTTAATCAGCGCTTCGACAGCATTATCAAAATTCGAAAACATCTGGCCCACCACCGACTCACCACAAGTACTCTCCTTGGTAGTCGAGCTCGACTCACTAGCAGTAGTATCGCGCTTCTTGAAGCTAATCCCAGGGGTAATTTCCACACAATTATACTGCGACTCAGCAGCACGCAACTGACAGATCTCATCTGTCTTACAGTCGCCCGTACACTCAGAGACGTCCCAGCCTCGGCTCTTGCGGGCATAATAATCCTGGAATACGGAGTCATCGTTTTCAAACAGAACAGTGACATTGTGCCAGAAAGCCGGGGTCAATTCAGCGGCGCTGTCAGTAACGGGCGGGTCAAGCAGCGATCCGTATGTCTCCTTAGCGGAGTAGTATTTCTCCCAGGTTGGCTTTGTCTGATAGGTAGAGCTGGACATGTTGGTGATGTACTCGGTGAAATCGAGGACTCCGAAAGTGACGGGGTCGACGGAGTAGACGCGGAACGCAGGGTTACCGGAGGTAGGGGTCATGGCGGGCATGATGTAGGACATCATGGATGCGGTGTCTGCAGACTGGTCTGTGTAGTTGGAGTAGGCGAGTTCGAACTCGTCTTTGTGGGTGTGGCCGTAGAAGACGGCGGCGATGGTGGCGTCGTAGCGCTGAATGATCTGGTTGAAGTAGTTAGAGGCGTCGTGGAAGGTGTCGCTGGATCCCATGGGCATGTGGCCCATTAACCAGACGCGTTCGCCAGCAGATTCGGCTGCGGAGAGCTCGTCCACAAGCCAGGCGAGTTGGCCGCTAGGGTCCTTTTCCATGGTGTTCTCGTAGAGCCAGAAATTCTCTTTGTAGTAGAAGTTAGTGTTGAAGGAGATGAGGCGCAGGTTTCCGCCAGAGTATTTGACTGAATAGGCGCCGTAGTCGTCTGCCGTGCTGGCGGCGGTGGATCCGATCCATTGGCTCCAGTCAGAGGAGAGGGTGTCGTAAGCCCACTGGCTGGAGATGGTGGTGTCGATATCAGCTGGCGGGAAGGAGTTCACTGGGGCGCAATCGTGGTTACCGGTGACGCCGTAGACAAGGTCGAAGTAGTCGGCCATCCGGGAGTTGTAGGCGTCGTTCAGGTCGTTGGTCACTTCGGTTTCGTTGACCAACCAGACGGCACCTTCGACGACATCGCCTGTGAATATGACGAACGAGGCGTTGGGGGCGAGCTCCTGGATAGCGGAGTACATGCTTTCTTCCAGTGTGAGGGGCGCATCGCAGTTGTGGTTGCCATACTCTCCTGCCGGGTAGTCCGTCACACCTGGGTCATCCGAGGAAGTATAGGGACGGCAGCAGATGGGTTTGGT